GCGCCATAGACGGCGTGGGTTGCCAGAAGCCAACCGAGATTTCATCGCCCACTGACCCATCAGGGCTGGTGCAACTTCCGAGGCGAGTGAAGGGCTCAAGGCGCTCAGTCACTTCATTCTGTGGTAACGCGAGGCGTTGCTGAAGACAAGTCCTGAAATAACAGTCTGCACGTGTGTGGCGAGAAACGCGTCCCAAGCATTCTCAATTTACCGCTCAATGTGCCCGGAGGACTACACCTTGTTACAGTCCTCCTCTAACAGGAATAGGCAGCCTGTATACTCTAGATCCACCGAAAATTGTCCTATTACCAGGTCAATCCTTGGATGATCAGATGACGAGAGGAAGACCTCCATAAGAACATCAGTGATGAAATTGAACGGGAATGGAGGGGGCAGGCATCCTTGACAAACGCGACTTTATGTATGCAACTCGCCCTCTCACCATTAGGTCAAACTTGCATACAAGTGTTTGGGTAAACAGCTTTCAATAGGGTGATGTACTTATTGGGTGCCCTTTTCAACATGACGCTTCCATAAGGCTTCTCGATCAATGGAGTCGAATGCTAAATTCAGGTAGAGAAATACAGCTACTTTCGATCGTCGCTAAGTGTGCCTGGGTTCAAAAACCTTGTGCAGGATGAATATTAGGTCAATGCATCCAAGGCCAGGTATGAAGCCTGCCGGGTTCTCCCAAGCTTACTGTTCCCGAGCTCGATGCCGGCATCTGGTGATTACGGAACTTGATACCTTAGACCATGTAGCGTCACACACCCCCAAAATCAGTGGCCTAGGGTTTGACAAGATTCAAGACTGATGCTGACCTTGGTAGTTTAACTGGACTCGCTAAGCTGAAGGCACCTGGTCAAGCATCCTCTCCGTTTAGCAAGCTGTCGCGTTACCTTGCATTGCTCGCAATCGACTCTCTAGTCAGTTAGTTGGAACGCATCGGTATTTTGGCGCAACCACCCAAATATACTATTCCATCCGACTACGTTATTGTGTTGTTCCTTGGTTTCGTATCCGTGGTTCGTACCAAGATAATTCTTAAAGCTATGTTCGTCAGGCTGATTACGCTGTGGTTATCGCAAGAGAAATTATCGCCTCTCTTGGAGACTGCGATAATCAGTAATTAAGAGCATATCATTTTACTCATTGGCATTATCCATGAAACGATTTCATTTAAATGATACCTTGGAAATTTCCTGTCGTAATTTCGTTGAATACCTCGAGAACTTTCAAAGATGACCTCAAATATTTTCAGCTGTCTGTGTGCCGTCCAGTTTTCCGATCAACGATGTGTTTTTTGTGAATAATGACTTAGATCGGAGTAGCCTATTTCTGATAAAGATTTATAGATGACTTCCAAGCGTTTATGTATATTGTGATACCCAATACCAAAAATTTCCACATCACTGCTAGCACAGATTCTCATGATCTATCCTCTATCGACTGAAAATGTTCTTTCTTCGTATTTCGAATAAATCAGGAATCTGTGGTTTTCCAAGACATACGTGTGTATAAATACATGGGGTAAGTCACAAATTACCCCATTCCCTTTAACTAATCTTTCTAGGTTAGGGTTTCCCAACAATACATTATCTACTTCAACCACATTACCTACTCCATTGAATTTCAAACACAACCTGCAATACAATCTCCTACGTAATTCATCAGTCTGTACAGCATCAACAATGCATCAAACGGAGGTAACAAATGTATTGAATAAATCATCTCCAGCCTGAATGGCTGTTCTGAAAGTTTGCCTTCACTAATATTTAGTTCTAGCAGTGTTTTAAAATAACGATAGTGATAATAATTCAAATGATAAGAGTGATAACGTTGATAGCATTGACTAAAGCAGCTGTAAGTATAGATGACAGCATCTACATTATAACTGTTTTAGTCAATGCTTTCATTTTTATTATTATCACCACAGTTACCTTCAAAAACTGAGCATATTAACAGAGGAATAAACATGGTTGGCTTAATAATATATACACATAGCTATTTATATTAGAGTAAAACCTGAAGGAAATTTAATTGACAACAATCTTGTTCATTTATATATTTTATCCTAATTTAAACAGTTGGAGGCTTTGAATTGTAATATGCTTTCGGAAAGAGATAAGATTCCAATACAAATTTGCAAAACGTCGCTCTTTGTTTAAAATTGGCTGGCCATGTATCAGTCGAAAATAGAAAAGTATCGACACATTGTCACCTCTATCAGTATTTATGAGTCCAGCCTAGTGCACTTGCCAAACCAAGCATATCTGAAGAGCCAAAAAATGTGCCTGTTCCCATTTTTTCATATATACTACATAGCACTCACCAATGAGCCTTCGAAATCGTCTACGGGTCCAATTATACGCCATTCTGTTGGTTTGAGACAAAGCAATATCTACAACCTTTAAAATCATAAGTCAAACTCCATGTTTCTTTGATTCGCAGAACCCCCAGCGATCAGATGCTCTAAACCTAGCCTGTGTTCAGAAGTAGACAATGAACAATCTAACATAACTCTGGTGACTGCATGTTCCTCTTTCATATTGCACCTCCACTTTATGTTTTCTTATTCCTCGCTTTTGTTGTACTGTATATATCTTAAACAGCATGAAATCCACCTGTTTCTTTATTGTATATCTGTTACGTTCGAAAATCACCTTACCATTATGACGACAATTTTATCATTATTTTTGACACCTGCTGATAAACTGTACAGACCTCCTGCCAATTGCCTATAAACAAAAAGACCTCATCATTATGCGCATTGTTAAGGCTGATATTTCCTGCTGCATCCCTATTCTCCAGTGTATATGGTTAGTTTATTCTAGCAAAAAGGTATATTCTTTACACTATCCTATACTAATTCGGCATTTTTTCTAGGCTGTTTGAGGCCATGAAATAGATATGAGCTCAATTTATTCTGCGAATTTGATCCCACCTGTTTTGAGGATTATTTTCTGAGATATGAATTCCCATTGTGGGCTTGCCACGCGGTTATACTATAAAAGGAAATTCACTTTGCTTTCTTTGATCAAATGGTATTGTATTAACAATAAAGTCCAAGGAAACGCAAATATTTCATAGTGTTCCTGATCTGCACATTCGAATTGAAAATCCCCAAAATTAGCACCCAATACAAAAAACAAATTAAGAACTCAGGAAGTACAGAGACAATTTACATTCGCTGGCTACGGTTTCTAACCTAGCAGTCACTCTTAGTGATACTCGGCAGGACATAACTTTCTTTTCTGTAGTAGGAACGTGAAATCTGACAACAGATTAATTCGATAATGCATATATCTTTACCTGAATGAAAGACTGTGAAGTGAAAACACCTATGAGCCCAGATTGGTGATACTTAGGACGCATGACAGGCGAAGCTAGTGTGATAGTAAGAGAAATGATCCAGTTAATAAACCTGGTACAACCTGAAAATATATGTCAATCCCGGTGTATAAGTAGAGGTAATAGAATGCGATCTGTATTAAAGGCGCCTCACAGTTACATCACCTGCCTAAAAGCATATATGCGAACATACGTATCCTTCCTACAGCATAAAGTTAGCTGTCTAAAGTGACTGGATTCCGTTATAATGTCCTCTCCCATTCGACTGTTTCGTGGTAAGTATCTTATGGGTTAGTACTTCGCAGGAGACTGAGTTCAGTTACGTCGAACTGAAGAACACGTTGAGTTACGATTAAAATTTCCTGGCATTCTCTTTTCATCTAAATACAGTTGGTTGCTTTAGGACTGTTTGGTGCTTACAACTCTCACAATAAGGGGTGAAGTAGTTGAATATGTTGGCTACCTTACTTGCTGGGGAGTTAGCAAAGACCGGGAGGTAACAAGACTAAATCTAAAATGCATACAAAGGGTTTGATTGGCTTTCGGCATTTGTGATATCAGTGAGTTATTTAGAAGCCTATTAGGAGCCAAATTTACTCTGTACATCAGTCTCACCATATGACTACAAAGAATCCACTATCTAGAGATTTTTGAAGAAGTCAACATCTAGATCATGGCTGAAATGCTGTATGTCCACCTCGTGTGCAAGAGAATTGAAGGATAGTCGGTGAAAAAGAGACGTGTTGCGCAAAATGCGACATTATCAGGTAGACTACGATCAATTTTTAATAAGCCTAAATTGACAAAATGAATACATAACGGTTAGCAACGTCTCTCTAAGGTTTATTTCAGTACTCATTTTTTAGCTCAAAAGAAAAATCAGACATTTATCGCTAGGAGAATAAGGTTTATGGTCGAATAAAGTCACATAGACCTAACCACGAGAGGTACATCGAACTTCTAAAGACATTATCCCATTTATAGCATCTTATTTCTGACGCGGACGGCTAATGTCATAAGGATTGCAATGCCTTCTTTTCTCTAAGCTCATTTTACCACACTAACCTCAAGTGTAACAATCTGGTATGTTAGGTCTTGTTTACAGTGTCCATAAGCTGATTTTGGTGCCTCTAAACTACTGTTAGTCTAAGGAGTTTCCTAGGCCGTTTGGGCTCGTTAACTTTTTGTTTTCAGTCTACACGAGTGGCAGCATTTAGATACAAAATATTTACATATTTACACAAATTAAAGGAAATTACGAGGGCACAGAACTTTGGTACACTTGAAAAGGGAAATATTGTTTCCGAAATAAACGCAGTAACGTCTAGTCCTACCATAGAATGCAGTGTCCAAAAATTACCATACATAAGCTGCTATATGATGTCAGATTGCTCGGTTACTTAGTAACCCACATAATGTGATAAAACTACTTACTGCTGTTAATTATCTCGAAGTAACATTTGTTTTGCACCTGGCAACCAACAAAGATCAGGAGAGCTGAATGTAACCGACAACAATTTCTTTCGCTCTCCTGCAAATAATTTACATACTAAACACAACTGATAAGTACTACACCATGACTACAATGTTTTCATGCAAACACCTAGAAGAAAACATTTTAAAATATCAAGAATATAAAACGGAAAACTGCAAGTGAAATAACTTCTTTTCATAAAGTAGGTAAAAGGGTAATCAAATAAATATTAATAGGCGATTTAAATAACTCACACAGACGATGAAAGCAAACTTATTTCTAAAATCATCACAGTCATGAAGTAACTGATAAAAGACATTTTAATATTACAAAAATACTGAACAAGGAAACCAATTATTGTTTACAGTATTGAGAAAATTTTACATTCATAAAACTAAAATAGAAAATTAAATGTCAAAAGTCAAGCCAGAGTAAATGTGTTGAACTGAAAAAGAAATGATAATTTCCGAAATAAAATGCTCAACAAAGTGAATATTTACAGTTATTCGATGAAACATAGAAATGTACCACATACAACAGAAGTTAAGTGCAACAGAAAAAAAATAAGAATTAAGAGAGCTCAAAACCAGCATGACTATTTATTGCATACCTCAACTTTTCTTTTAATGCACTACGAGATGAATAGTTGGGTAGTTTTAGAAGATTAAAACAAGTTGATGCAGTCGGTAGGCGAGAAACTTCTTCACGACGTCCAACAACGCCTAAAAATCCTTTTAGTACTGATCCTAAAGTATCACCGACATCCTATAAAGTGTTAAACAACTAAATACAATAAACCATTTAGTGCACATCTAAAATAAAGATGAAACTAAATAATCTTGTTTATCTTTACCTGATATAAACAAAACTTGGTTGGTAGTTTTGCAGAAGGTATGAAAATAAACATTCTTGGACTGGCAGTTAAAAATCTAGTGTCAACACTACCGAACTGTAAATCTTGTCACTTAGAAGCGATGTATAAAGAATAAGAGGACATTGGTGTATCTGAAATCCACTGTAGGAAATATTGTTATTTTTTGTAATAAGGGTTTCACAAAAAAACGTACTTACAACATCCTGGAATCGTGTATTACTAGCATCAACCTAGTGAGGAATATGCATGTACACTAAAAATAAGTCTTTACCAAATTTACGACTTTAGTTAGAAATGTGGGCTGTTTTGAAGATGGGAAAAAACTCTATATACATCTTTTCAAGTTCAAACTTCATCAAGGGGATAAGCTTTCCAGTACATATTACGCAATGTTTGCAACACTAAAGATTTAAGAACAAGTGGTTTGTACAAAATGGTATAACTAAGGTTTTTGAACAGGGATAAATAGTATTTCTTTATCTGAAATTATATATGGAGAATGGAAGACTTGTTTAGAATGAAATACACAAATTTACTCAAACTGTTACGTCACTCTTAAAAGAGGAGAATAAAATTTTGAATGCTAAGCACGAACACAAAATGATCTGTGCGCATTGAGACCTATCATACTGATTTCATGAAGTAAAATATATCTGTGTGCTACTTTTCAACAGAAACTCATAAATATGTCAAAAGTAGCCAGTCACTCTAAGGTCCACCTTACGAATAAGGCTGACTAGCCACTAGGTCGTTGTTTATGTTTGTGATGTGTTCATGAACTTTTTCGTCAAGAAAGAGCAGGCTTAAATCATATTTTACGCAAAGTGATTTTCTTCAAGAAAGTTGCCGCTAAGATGATGGACAGCGATACAACGAGCAAGCCGCGGATGACTTTGTTAACGTGTGTTGTCACAGATATAACAATCGAAGGTAGGCGCTACCTATTTTTGAGCAAGATAAACTTTTTAATTGGTGGTAAAGGCAAAATAAAGCTTAGTACACAACCACTACATAGAATAACTTTAAAAGGGAATGAGCACTTATATGCGAAATCCGTGTTCTTTTGAAAACTGTACATACATATGCGACAAGCTAAGGGTCTGCATGATGGCTACGGTAAAAGCGAGGTATGATTGTATAGATTCCTATATTTCCTAACCAACAAGTTAAGCTATGGTACATTTTCGGTTGATACACGGAAATTTCTGCGACTACAAGCACATGGTTGACATATGGTTATGAAAGACTCGGATGAGGGTTAATTCTACATAAGTTTCCTGTAAAAACTGTATTCGCTCATAATTACATTAAACTAGTTCAGACAGTATATTGTTACTGTGTGCCGTAATTCCTTGTACTAATGGAAGTTAGCCAACTGTGAACCACAAGTAGACAAATACACCAATGTTATCACATCAGCTTATTGCTCAATAGGCTTCATGTAAGATGACTCCACCAACTTGTTTTAAATCATTCTGCTACTTTTGATGAATAAAACAAACATTCCTCATTTTCATGTAATGAAAACTTTGAGTGTAATGCCCTCATGACTTATCTTACGAAAAATCATCAAAAACATCATAAATAACAACATACACTTAATACTGTGACTACATATTTCCTGTGAAGCTATGGCTTATTGGTCTAGGCAGTTAAATTTCAGTCAATAGTTTATGTGTTCGAATCTTCTTCAACTACCAAAGTTTGCGTAGCAGATTAGCTCTCAAACAATAGATGTGGTCTATTTCCTAATCCACAGATGTGCAAGTGGTTACTGAGTGTGTTGCAGTTTCGACATCCATTCTTTCTAATAACATTGAGTTAAATAAATAGTTGCTAGAAATAATTTTGTTCTCACAAAAAACAATTCTGGTTGATAATGAATTCCAAAAAAATCCTATAAAAATTAACTGTTACTGATTACCAAAGTTGTAATAAAAAACCATATTGTACATTTTGGAACCTATATGAAGTATTGAATGAATGCTTTTACAGTATACGTAGCATCTGTCTACTAATTTATGCTGAACTGTAAGTGTCTACCTTAAATATAAGCAGAGAAAATCAGATAATGTTGTAAAACAAAGTTGAATGGGGTTGACAATTTAGAATATGATATTGGCAATTTTTCGACAGATTTTTAAAGATTAATTAAAATAAGACAAATTACTTGATCCTCATTTGTGTAATGAACACAACGTATACAAAATGGTGGTTCCAGATTAGCGAATCCCAAAAGAGGCGGTCTAGAGCAACTGGTCACAAACTAAAAATAAAAGCCAACGGTTAGTATAAAACGAACTCATATGTCGTATCATACTTCGGTATCAGAAGTCTTCGTACGAAGTATGGTACACTTAGATTAAAATTAAATAACCTTCAAGGAAACAAATGATACACATGGCAATTTCATCGAAGTACGAATATATGATAATCCTTGGAGAAAGGTTTACGCCCAAAGTCATTCAGTAAAAATATACAAATACACAAGCATTTTAGTCATACATAGTAATAATGTAAGTACGAAGTTAACTAATTCACTTTCTTCCCTTTTGGCTTGTTTTGATCAGTATGTAGCCAGGTTTGATGTCGAATCAAGTATTGAAAGATACGGTATCCCTGAATAATATACTTTTTCACCATTCTTCTCATAACTAAAAAATTCGAAACCGAATGCAATCTCAGGTGCGGAGATGTGCGTTCGAGAAACTAACGAAGAACAATTTTATTATTGCCCTTTTATTCAGACATGAAACTTGTCTGACTAATATGAGTATACTGTTTCTGAACTGTAGTTAGGAGTTGAGTGGCTTTAGACCCTAGTTTTGGGCACTGTTGTGTAAGGTAATTCTCTCATAGTAATCACAAGACATAATAATTTATCAAACAGAACTATCAACATTAGTGATTAGTTTGAGAAAATCATCCATTTTCACTTATTCCAGCTAGTCTATCTAACTGACAACCAACCAACATCTCCATGTAAGGTGAAAACAGTACCCAACCCCAATTCCTTAAGGATATAGAATGCGCCTTGAATTTATCGTTAAGAGAAAGATGATGAAAAGGTATCGAAATTTCTAAAGTTTTAAGCAAACACTGGATCAAACATCAGATAATATTACAGGATGAAATTTCACTAAGACCTATTTGAACAATAAAGGAGGAAGTGGTTTCGAAAAACAAACAACTATGCTCCTTTTAGGGGAGTATCAATCTTGATCAGGTTGTTAATCAGAGATATCGGCATTTATGCAAACGATCGTCAGGCTATTGCCGACTGGAATATACGTTAAAACAAGCATGCGAAATCATAGTCGCACTTGTCAAACTTTAGGAGTGTGTATACTGAGCATTAAAATTCAGTGTGTTCAATCATATCCGTAGTCAAAATATTTCTTAGAACTCCTAGTTATCAATATAGAAGTCAAGTGAAGAATTCTTAATTGTGATGCCTTACGAGTAAAAGCATTGGGAAATGCCAAGCAACTACATACATACCCTAACAGTAATGCTGACTAAAGGTTGTTACTTTCAAAAACATTAACGATAGTAAAACCACAAATAAATGAACCCATCGAAGCGTTAAGTTGTACGTTGAGTTTACTACCATCGATTCAGTAAATTATTGAAGATTGAAAATAACATGGCTGAAAACTAATCTCATTCACACAAACAGACATAACCTGTATCGACGCCGAAATCCTCTAAACCTTATTTACTTTGAATTTATTTAATCCCTCTACAATCGTATCCCCTCATCACATTCCTTTCGTTAGATTACTAATTTGCATGACTTTCGTTTTAAGTGTCGTGGAATGTGATAGCTTGAAATCGGTCGCCATCGTGTGAGGCTGGTCTATTTGGGTATCTCAATATCAATACTCAACTACTCATACATAAGCATATAGTAAATAACCAAAAAGCCTATGAAAATATTCAGTAGCCTAATTAAAAGGTGAAAGAGTTGTGAACAGCTAAATTACTTTGACAAACAGAAAAAAACCGACGAAGAATCCTACACACGAGTGCATAAGTTCAAGTTCCTATACTTCACAGCAATATACAGAGAAAAGGTGGATAGGAAAAGAGTGATATCAAAGTAGAGAAAGTAGTGTAAGAGAACAAACAATTTGAAGATAACGATCAGTATAAATATCCAAGCTTTAGATGTTAGGGAGTGAATGCATATGCAGCGCTGTGACCGATTTTCAGCCGTGTCACCAAGAATGCCAGATCACTGATTTCCTCGTCTCGAGGACTCTAGCCAGGCAGCCTGCATCTCCCCCACCCAACTCAGACCAATAGTCAAGGATATCATGGACTGGTCTGGCCACTCTGAACCCTCTTCCAATCTAATCCAGTTTCCCCTAATATCAGACGTCGACATGTGCGGTGACTCGCCATGAGCACTACATATCTAAGCCATCTCAGTCGACTAAGGTTCCAACCTCATCAATCGACTTGCTTGTCTTGCCTAGTACCCTTCGCTCGACTTCAACATTGTTCACACGCAGTGCCAGTACCGTAGCCAATGAAGTTTGTCTGAGGCGCGGTTATTGCTAGTTGAAAACTACTCTCCTGAAATTACTTTGGTGCAAACAAGAGAGAAAACAATTTTTTCTTATGTGTTCGACATCATCTCATTCATGAGGGAAGTTTAAAATGAATCATCAAGATATGGAGGAAGAGTAACATATAATACAATATAGTGAATTATTACTTTCACAGTTATCTTAGTAATGTGATGGGGAAAACAGTAATTACCAATAACAATTATGCGGATAACTCACCTTTAAAAACAAACTACGCTCCCGATCGTCAAAATCACGTCTTAAAATATCCCATAACCAGCGAATAACGCGATGATTACTATGAAATCCACCCGAATAGCGTGTATGCTGTCTATAAAAACAAAAAACTCAAACATTGCAAGATTGCAAACATCTTTATCAATGAAATATATTTGTCAAGTCCCAATGATATTTCACGACCTCGTGGAAAAACGCTGCTTCAGAGAATAAAACCTGTACAAGCTATCGCATATTTACATAGTAAATGGTGACAAATCAGATGACATGAATCGGCAACTGCTGTTCACAAAATTGACATTGAAAATAGTAAACTTATTCAAAAAGGTTTTTCATACTACAAGAGAGGTGGACAGTAGAGACACTTCACATTATGTTAAATTCAAATGGACTCAACAAAAAGGAAGCTCTAACTATCCCACCATTTTGGACAGGATATCCGAAATAACACGTTGCACACAATAGTCACGACAAATAAATTGAATTCTTCATCCATAGTATTTTTTCTTACACCTTCACAACTATTAACATCTTCACCTTAACCTCACAGACTAATAACTAATAACGATAAGATTTATTCCTATATTATTATCATGTATGAACAATGTGATCTGATTGTCACTATTTACCATTTGAACATGCGACAGCTTGTACAGGTTGAATACTATGAAGAAGCGATTTCCAGGAAGTTGCAAAACGTCAGAAATTTATTTTTCGATCTCACCGGCGTTCTGCAAATATAATCCATTTATCCAATTCTTAACTTATTCGACTCTACTAGGCCAAATTTTGATTCTGAAACCGATAAAAAAATCTTCAACCAGAAGTGAAAAGTGTTTAGCGCTCAGCAGGCATGGTGATAGAAATATTCACATTTAATTGCTAGAAATTAAATAACACTGAACTATCATCAAAGAAGATTATCTATATCTTAAGTAAGCCCAATAGTATGTGGATTTATTAATGAACATTTGAAATGAAATCCTCTTGAAAGAAGTAATGGAGATGAATTTGAAAGCACATCCATTCAATTAACATAACAAATTGATCAGTCAATTTTAGGTTATATAAAATAATTATGTTTAGAAATTGGTTGTCAAATCGTATATTATGTGGATAGAAAGTTCGAATTGTTGGGGCCGAAGTCTAACATTGAAACACGTAATATGACCGCAAAGGTACGTGTAAAGATGGAGTATTTAGATATGCAAACCAAAGTGGAATTTGATGGTTTGAAAATAAATTGGGCATCGGTTAAATGATACTCGTTATTTTCGCATTTGTAATTGAATGTAAAACAAAATAAATTTGCTTCAACTGACCTTTCGTTATCTAATGCTAATAGCTTTATCAAAGTTATATTAAACCGGAATTTAAAATATCCAAGCTTATATATGATAACTTGAAATGTGTTCTTCTAGATGGATGGTTGTACGATGTCAGATTGTTGAACAAAGATGATATCCATACGTAGTGTATTATGGTATGACGAGTGTGTGAATTAAAGATTGAGATTTGTATCTACATATGTGCTGATAATTCGTATCACGTCCATGCTCGTTATGTTAGTATATTGGGGTGGGTTGATGGTAGGAATAAGGGAATGAAATGTAGTTTGAACTTTTCTCAACCCACCCCTACATACTGACATAACCAACATACATATGATAAGAGCCACCAACATACATGTACAGACATCTCAATCTCTAATTCATACTCTTACACACTATTAACAACATATGGATATCATCTTTGTTCAATAATTTGAGGATGCAGAATCATTCATGCATCAAGTTTATACCGGGTGACGATTGAAGGTGAAATGGAAATTTAGACCGCGACTGGATTCAAATCAGTGACCACAAGGTTTCCGGATTGAGCTACGACGTTTGACTGATGACTAGGTTTTTATTTCACTTCAATCACCAAGGGTTCTGTTCGACTACCATATGAATGCGTGACGCGTTACTACAGCCTGATCGTACTCACACTGGCTGCATAGTCAGGATTTCTCATGCCAATCGAAATCTAATTGAATAATAGAGAGGGAGCATCATGTTGATTGTCATTCTGAGTATCTGAAACAGCCATGGTTTGACAAACTAGCACTGATACTCGTAGCTCAGTTGGCAGAGCGTCAGATAGGAAACCCAGTGGTCGCTGGTTCGAATCTGGTCGTGGTTCAAATTTTCATTTCACTTTCAACCATCACTCAGTATAAATAATAGTCTGCCTAACCGCAGCTATCTCAGATGGTCAAAATGATAAACATATCAAGTTGTCATATATAAGCTTGGGGATATTAGTAAGTTCCGGTTAACCATAACTTTGATAAAGCTATTAGCACTAAATAGCGAAAGGTCAGTTGTGGAAAATTTCGTTAGTTTTACATTCATTGGGAAATACAAATATGAAAATAATGAAAAAACGTAGTAGTTCATCTTATCCAGTGTGAGTCAACTGATACGAAACACCTTGAAGACAAAAAACAACTTCGATCGTACACATAAAGCAATAAATTAGGTTTATGGCTCCCTGCCAATTAACACCAAGCACCTAACAAAAACCTGAGTATCGAAATATAACGTTTATTCTTGCTGATAACACTAAATAGTAAATTAGCAGACTTGGTTCATCACTCTGGTTTCGGCAACTACCTTAGTTATCATACAACAACCAAATTCTATTTCCCTATACAAAACACAAACTTGGTATAACATAGACACCAACAACTGCGCATACCAAATACAGCAACAATAAGAAAGCAAAACGTGATACAGAAGGTAGATGAAGAAAGAAACAAAAACGCAAATGGGTTATTAAAAAAAGGTGCAGTCAGAGAAGCCAGCTTAAATTTTTGCGCTACCGAAAATTTTCCACCGAATTTATTTCATCAAATTCTTCCCTTTCAATTTCATTTAATCTTTTAAATGTGTCTTTTAAACGCGTCAAGTCCTTCTGCACCGGCTGAATAAACTACCACCACCAAAATTACGCTCGATATTCTATTCATTCACTAGTCCAAACAGGATGCTAATATAGCACCAGGTGTCTGTTTCACGTTGTGGCTATTATTACTGTTATTATTAACATTATTCAAATGCAATGATTATTTCGCTTAAAGATATTGTACAGGGAATGAGTTTGTTGAACTATTGCATACTGAGAATTCTGTACTGTATCACAATTCTTGCTTGGAGTAAAGCTATTACTATTATTATTATTATTAATATTATTATTAAAAAGCAGCTTTCGTTTGACTTTACTAGACTTCCGATATGTGTATTAAAGTCCCGAACTACTACCACGGTATGTGCCGAGCGTATTTGGTTGACAAGGTCATTCAATTGATGATAAACTCGTTCGTCACTGCAGCTGGGCTGCAACCAGTCTAACCATAGATACACGCGACAAGGAGACATCGTTTCCCACTCTAATAAAGCCTACCAGCAAAGAGATACCTATTGATATGGATCCAAATGACCAGTGCAACCTCGGTTCTGGCACTCTCAGTACGACACTAACAACAGCAAGGATGGCTCCTGAGACCACAGGATCTTGGCCAGTGCATGATACAACACCTTTCGAAAGTTATTTGAAGTTATTCATTAGGATCTCATAGGTGGGTGGGTCTCTGAGATACAGTACACATAAATAACGAAACTTTCCATGGTCCCAGCAAAACCTGTTAAGTGTCGGAATTGTAAAGAAGTTCAAGCGCCGAAGATAGTCATCTTACACAGTGCGCAACGTTTCAGAATACTTCAGTTAAATATCACAATGAAGAATAGTTTTCTGTAAGCAACTGTTTAGAGACTCAAGACGATGCAGATAGCTCAGGATTTTACTCAATGTTAGACGGCTGAGTGAAATAATGGATGCAAATAGCGATATATTTGGGAGGGACAACGAAAAAGCAGTATGGTTTATACGAAAAAGTAATTAGGATGGAATGACAGGTTGGATAGTTGAGTTGGTTTTCGCTACACTGATTTAAACCGTAGTAGGAAAGTTTGCGCAATGGATTCAAGCCTTCTGTTTTAAAGTATTTTCATGTTGGCTGTGATACTACTTGAATGTCTAAATGAAAGCAGATGTTTGTCCCAACTCTTCTAGGTGAACACTTCTTGTGGATCGACCCAGTTATGACTTTAGACATTCACTTTCATTATTTCATTTTTACGGCAACACCCCGCTGTAAAGTACTTACAAGCATGAAACTTGGCTCAAATGATGCTTCTTGGTGGTCAGTTTCAAACATCCAATCTAATTATGTTGACGTTCAGCTTCTAGAAGCATCAACAAAAAGATGTGTCCCCATGGTTAAAACTATATGCTTTTAAACAATTCAGTATAAAAATGACACCTAGGATAAACTATAGACAGGCATCAAAAAGAAGGCTTGATAATACTATATGATTAACATACTGTGATAATAAACTTACTTTAAATCATCAATATCCATGGAACCACAGTCACCTGAAATCAGAGTCTGTAATTCTGGTGGTGAAAACATAGCCAACCAGTCAGGATTCAGAATAGAATAAAATCCACGTATAAATGAAGCGGTTTGAGCTCGAATCTGCTTGTACATACGGAAGTGAGCAACACTATGAACATAACTTATCCTGTATAAAAAAACAAAAACAAATCATAGACACTGTAATATCCAAAACAATGTCGAAATTAAGTGATACGAATTCACACACAAAAGTCTGAAAATAATTTCAGGCTAATCATTTCAAATTAGTTTTTGTACATACAGTAAGTGATGTAACTACTACGTAACCAAATTCAATTGTTTCAAATTATTTCACACCAAGCAACACCATGAAAATCAGTAGCTAAATATAAAGTTTTTGGGTGTTATTCAAGAATAATTTGAGGTATAAAAAAACTACACGACACGTCGAATCACCCAGTAACTATAAAGAAAAGTACTAGATGATTATTATTTTAGTTCTGAAGTTTGTAAGGACTGATTGATTTTAAGGTATCATTAATCCTAAATTGACAACAGTTTTAAAACCAGTGGAAACCTAGAAGCATTGGATAGCTGTTTCGCCCTACTATAGGTCTCCTCAGCTGCACTGTAACTAAATAAGTGCATTAAAGTTACATATCATTTTAAAAGATTACCTGTGCTGAAAAGATGATTCAGTACACTTATAACTAAGTAAAACCGAAGTTTACACCACAACAAAAACTTCGTTTTAGACGTACTAATGAACATAAATCCAAGTCTCTCGAAGATTAAAAGGATTTATCTACTTTCTAGTCACCATCTGACTGACTTGGAGTACGTAGATGACATTGTCGTAACAGGTGTAGGCGCTGACAAAATGCAGGGTCATCTGAACACCTTGGCCGTAACTAAGAGTACCTCTGGCATGAGTTCTGGACCTGCCAAATGTACAGCGATGCTTCAGAACGTATTGGCACTGAATTCTAGCTTAAGAATAGAGAGTGAAGTAACTGAAAGCGTTAATTACTTCACTTACTTAGAGATATGAATCAACTCTAATGGGTTGATTGCTAAAAAATCTCAACTTGGATATAACAGGCCTGTTCGCCCACTTAAAGCATCTCTGGTACTCTGATATCTGAATACCTATTAAAGGATGAGTATACAGTGCTATCCTACTACATAGGTGTAAGACATGGTCCACAGAAGTAAAAGATATCAATAAGTGATAGGTACTTAACCAAAGATGTCTTCGTAGTATTGTTAGTGTGGAGAAATCAAGGTGCAGAAAATGGTATAGTTAGGCGCAGGATTCTGGAGAGGTAAGCCAGTCGATAAGGTTGTGAATCTTGGGCGAATGAGTTTTCCGGGATGTGATGTGCATGTTGAGCTACCATCTGCCTTGATGTGCGATGTGAGCCGAAGTAGAATCGGGTTGGAAGAAGACAAAGGGTAGTCAAAGCAAGACGTGGCACGAGTCCGTGAAGATTTTGGTTCTTGGTTTGAGCTATACAGGAAGATTAAAACCGCTTTGATGGGCAAGAGTCCCTTCGACACCGGTAGTAAAAACACACTGTGAATGCAGATCACTTTTAAGGAAACAAAGTAAGCAGTTAATCTAAAACATAGTGAAAAGTGTTGCTAGTTTCTAGCGGAGTCACAAGACCATACTTGTTGAATGTAATTCACAAGAAACTTATTGTTTCGAAAATATTTACTAAGCTGAACGAAATTTTGCAAATGTCACGTCAGCAAAGTTGTGAAATGATGGAAAAAAAGTGGAATAACTTACTTGACATCATTTGTTACAGATATTTGACGACCACCAGGACAGAGGTCATGTACAATCACTTGACCTAAACAATCTTCTGCATACGAATAGGTGAACTCCAGTTCAGATACATCTCCATCATAATGCTGAGAAAAGTTAAGGCACAATTACATAAATGTAAAAAATGCATGACTAAAAAAAATATAAAAGTTAAACGGAATGATAGCCTAGTAAAGAACAAAGTAAGCACATCTAACCGTAGCAAATTGCTGAACGGAATGAGAAAGAACTGACACGGATTTCAACGTTTCTTAGTAGATACTAGTAGTCTCCAATGTGAACAATGTTTCCTTCGTTAGTGCAAAGATACTTAGTGGTGTTTTTAGAAATATTCACAACATAAAACAAAACTGTTTATACTCACTAATATTGGCTGATAGAGAGCAAATTAGAAGAGCTTGTGAACTACTTACGAATCGAGACGTATGTAGTTCCTAACAGGCAATGTCTTTAATTAGTAGATATGGTTGCAATTCATGACACCTGTAAAGGCCTGACCAAATAGTCGCCAGTGACAACCCTGTTGAAACAACTTGACTCTTAGATGTCAACATGAATCATCTGAGGATTACTAATCAAGTCCCATGGTAATTCAAAAGAGATAGGAGACATTTGATGAAGTCGGGTAGTTTTTGTTACAAAAATTCAGAACCTGGTTACCGGTTAGGTATTGTGGAACGAAGAAATAAGATGCAGATACAACCAGCTGAGTAGTTATTGGTGGGACGGAAAAAAACATCCCAAAATCCACTGTTAACCACCATCCACTACAATCAACATTCAACTTTGTTGGTAATTATTTACAACTGTTATGTGAATTAAAGTGAATGGAAAATGATTAAATAAAACCCAGCCATGTCATTAAAAATTAACTCACCTTGATATAACTTAGGCTTTTGTACAATTCTCTATCCAATGTGGCTAATTCATCAAGAAAACTATAACAACCTGCTTTTTCACGACCAAGTAATTGAGTAAGGAAGAAATTTGCAAACGGTACATCAACAACGGTACTCTGAAAAGTGTAAGAATGAAAGAAAAAGTTAAAATTACTGCACAATCATTTGTTTACTACAATCTATAGTGGCATAGTTCAAAATAACCTGAACTGGGAACGAACTTATTCACATATCTAACTTCAGAATAGGGAGAAAAGTGGTAGAGTTCTTTGAACATTTTAATTATTTGGGAAGGTGTATTAGTGCTAATCAATGGTGAAGAAATCTTAACACAGGTAGAAAATACTTCTCCAGTATTGGCAAAACTAATTAATTCCCACAGCTAGTAAAAAATTGACCATTTATGATAGGGGAATTATACTATACATGAATTAGCTTTTTTCTACTTTTCGACAAATTAACGTAAGATCTTGTACAAAAGTGTTTCAGTTCAAGTTGCCAAACTTCGCAGCAGCAAACAAAGAAGAATTAGATAATAAATGTCAACACAGCGAAATGAACGAGGGAGGAGAATGGAAACGAGAGAGAGCATCATAACATCAATGATTTCGAACCATTTTAGTAAGAGGTGTGTAAAACCAGACTTCATAGATGCGATCTCAAAAACTGCTGCTTGAAGAACTAAGGAGTCGAGGCAAAAATAGATCGCATAGACCTAGGATCATTCCCGTTTAATCTCTCCTGAGGAAAATTGACTATCTCATTGACCAAGGTTTATTCGTCTTCTTTTCATCTTCATGTCTTGCCTAACATTCATTTTCATATTTTACTACTTTTCTTTAAACACTCGCTGTGTATACTGTTGTGAAGAAAGGAAGCTCAGTTCATTAAAACTCTTTTTGCCATTGTATCTACATGAGTATCTATTCATAAATCCCAAACTGAAGGTATAATTCAGTTGTCTGCGTTATTGATAAAACAAAAACACTTACTTCATAGACGGCTTTAGCAAGCATTTTCCCTAGAAATTCAAAGAGTTGTAAATGACTTTCTTGGAGATGTGAAGTAGGAGATGGATACAAACGTTGATCATTTGTCAGACGAAATAAGTTTAAACTTGGATCAAATACACGACGAAGTGTTTCTTCTAGGAATTCTTTAAATACACCATCTAAATCAATACCAACTTCATCTAAACCCTGCGGAAAAGGAAATAAGAACAATTTGATGTTCAGTTGAAATTAAGATGTACGGTCTAATATTGTGAAGCTCTTATCCTTTTAAACAATATAAATGAGACTAACTCTAATATGACGCCATTTTAAAGTTAGTGCTGATGATATCTACGAAAAAAAATGATAGTTTCACATATAAATGATCAATCTCAAAGAAAAACCACCAGAATCATTTCACGAGCAACAAATATTCTCCAATGTACAAAAATATATGCACACATAATATGCTACATTGAACATTGCTAACAAATTGAGTGATTAGTTACTCGGTGTCAATCACTGGTTCAGTCATTTGACTAACAAGTAGCAAATCAAAGATTTTAACCAGTGTAAGGTAAAGAGAGGGTACAAAGCCTGGGTAAATAACAGGCAATATACACTTCACACCCTTATAAGTGATAGACAAAGATATTCATCTACACATGAGCAGCCAGGCGCTTATTCCTGCAGTGTGCTCTTTTTCTGCTATGAAACGAGGGTGTCAATAATGACAACAGTATCTGAAATGATGGAAAAGATTTGAAGCTCAGGATGAGCATGATGGTGGTTCGGTGTTCGCTGTGCTGTGAAATTCTTTAGGGGATGTCTCATCATCAGGTTTGGTGACATACTCAGAACTGACTTCATAAAGGAGCCCCTTTCCATCATTTCATATGGAGCTGTCACCACTGAAGTATTTTGTAAAAAAAGTGCTGATTGAACTTCAGTTGGTATAGTTCAAAACAGATTTTAATGAAGCGTAGACATTCACTTTTTCGCAATATTAAACATCCAAGCTGTTCTAGAATTACTGATACCCCCCAAACGAAGTGACATGGCTGAAGACGATATAACCCTCGTCATATTATCGAAGTGCCCTCATATAACCCATTCATGCTAAGGAAGTCCTACTCACTGTCTTCACATAGCAGGAAATGCTTGTAAAAAAGTGTTAGTGCTAAAGCGAACTTTCGGTACCAAAACCAGATTAGTTAAAAAAGATATCCTTAATGTAGGTGACAGAGGTATTGGTCTACTACCAGTAGCAACTAGTGTTGGTTGCTATCGCAGGTCAATGTTCCTAGTATTCCACCATATTCCGGACGTCTTCGATTCTTTGGACATGGTTGTACTCTGAAATTGTTTCTTAGGGACGTGCATGTCACTATGAGACTTGTTAACACCCTGCAATACCTAGACTTCAACACCTCAGGTAGACTGAGGTGTACAACCACCTACGACGATTGCTCCAAATCATAACTAGAGTTTGACAGAGATGCCTGACTTCGCCGTTCCTCCTTAGCTTTGCCATCGATGAAACGTTGAAGGAAGTGTGGTGACGGTGTGTACCTGTTACCAGATAAAAAGATTTTTGACCCCGAATATACAGACGATATCATTTTACTGTGTAACAAAATAACGGCTACTTAAGTAGAAATCAATCAGCTAGAGATCAGTTTCCATAGTAAGTGCCTTACTCCTTCCAAGTAAAACGTGCTTCTCCAAGATAAGTAAGACTTGCACTCATCCTTTGTGGCGAGTCACTGGAATTTGTCGAAACGTTTGTCTACACACACAGTAGTCGCTGGTTCGAATCCGGCCGCGGTTCAGATTTTCATCCCACCTTCAATCATCACCCAGTACAAATACTAGTCTGCCAAACTACGGCTGTCTCAGATAATCAAATGATTACATAAGTGCAAGTACAAGTGTGACCCATAAGCAAATATAGAAAGGCACAATGGCGTAGACCAATCTGAGTCACCTCTGGCGCTAAATCACCTGTAAAAGTTCAAGTTTACGACGTGTGGGCGAAAATACTTACGCCCTATGTCTGTGAAATCTGACTCCTTCGAGCTTAGGTTATCAGTTGACTCTGTATGTTCGATCATCTTCGTCTCCGTCAGATCGCCCGCATCCGACGGAAACACCATGTAAGTAATTCTGAGGTGCAGCTGAGAGTTTTAAGCTGTGGGGGACTTCATAATTCATTGACTGTGTTCATACTGAAATACGGGCTTCAGTGGCCCGGACATTTTACGTGTCACGTCAGCGGTTCCTACACCCCTCACCATTTGTTTGTCCCGAGATTTGGTTAGAAGAAGAGGCGAGGTGAACACTGTGTGACGCGGTGCCGTGAAATAAAGAGTAGCTGTGTAGGGTTAGTATATGTAGGTGCATCACGACTTGCTAGATGGGGTTGGGAAGATCATAGAACTCAGTGTCTTGAGACTATTAATGACGTGGCTCAGAATCTAGAACAATGGTGATTATGCTGTAGTTTTCTTAATACATTATGCATATTCACCAAAGATACTAACTGTTTCTCATTCCTTTGCCGACTTTTCTCGCACTGTACAACTTCAAACTGTTACAAAAGGTAAGCGCACTGCAGTACCAGGTTTCATCTCGTTGTAGAGAAGTGGTTATCGAATAAACTTCAAAACATTTTTTTTCTAATTACCAACAGGCTGCTTAACAGAAGGAAAGGTATTTGATATGACATAGCTTCCATTAGTAAATTGCTTTAAACAAAACTTTCAGGACTTTGATTAATTGTTCTAATGGCACAACTCAATGAGCGGATCCACTTCATCTGTAAAAGTTCAGGCAGTCAAGTATTACTACTAGTGCTCACTTTATGGGTGCAGCTGGTTGCTTGAGATGTTTATATGTATGTGGTTGCTTGGTTGCGTTTTTTAGCAGCTTTGAAATAAAACTTTGGTAAGACTGAAGCTAGCTAAAGATCTACTAGTCAAACAGTCTTACATCAGGGCTTTCTAATAGACATCAACACGACGGTAAGCAACAGTCTTGATTCCACTCCAACTATACAAGGTTATTTCATTTCTAGCATCATTTTATCAAGAGTATTTCTGGTTAAAAATCGTACAGTCTAATATATTTCCCGATTTCCATTTGATTATCGGATGTAATTCTACATACAAGATCGATTAACACCATCAAATAACTATGTGAAAGGTAATATAGTAAAACCTAGTGGTAACTTTAAACGACATACCATTTCATTTACAAACTGCACGCGTATTTTCATACGTAATTGAGGTGAAGTCAAATTGGCTAGCTGCTGATAACCATCCTGTAGGTCAAAGAAAATTAGTTGAAACAAAAGTTCAGTACTTTGTTTTCATGGCAATAAATTTAAATAAACGTAAAAATCAAGTATCAGAACTTACTTCAACAATACGATTTCTATGCACAGTTATTACAGCACCAACTGGACCATCATCCGTAAGCCAATTAGTTCGTGTATGTATCCCCAGTGAAGCTTTATCCTCACGCACAAAATCACGGAAGAGAATAACGCGCTTTAGTTAAATAGCTCATTAAATACACGTGAAAATGAAAACTCACCTCTTTATGTGGTATTATATGTGGAATATGTTTGAGTAGAAATGTTGCATGTGGTTTTGGCTTACGTAAATCTGACAGGAAAGCTGATACTTTGAGATTTCTTATCATAGAGTCAACAAGTTTGTTTGTTTCCCATTCCGAGAAATAGCAAGTAAAGTGGAAGAGGGAAACAATATAACATGTAGATGTGTTATGCAAGTATGAATACACATAGATTACGATTATATTACTACATAATTATACACAAGGGAAACAACACAACGCGTAGGATAAAAAACAAAAATAAGCCCTCATTCTGAGAATATAATATTTTAACTCCTTCCAACCAAATTGAATAGTGCCTCGAATGATTCTAATTAAAATATATTACAATGTAGAAAATCGAAAATAATATTGCATATTTCATGATTAGTGTATTGTTCTGAGGAACTCGTCATACCTAATATTTCTGGTGCCACGGCTTAGGCTGAACTAAAAACTCTATTACTTCACTACTTTGTCGTTTCATGATCGCAGAACAAGTTGAAAGTCATGCGAGTTACCGTCAAATGAAAAATCAGTGGAAAAAACACGTAAGTTGATTCTAGTTCTGACTCTAAGCTTGGGGAAAAAATCTAGCGATCTCTTCAATGACTAGTGAAAATTCTAACGGAAATACTGGCATGATGTCAATGAAGAATTTTTTCGATGGAGGCGATGAGAAAAACAGACAGCTAGGCAGCGATGAAGAGCCCATGCAAAATAGCTCATGAATAGATTGAAGTTTATGTTAAGATTCGACTATCACATATTATCATGAATATACTCGCAGTGAGTATTTGTGACAAACTGAGTCTCTCTAAAATGAACAAATTTTCCATAAATACAATCGACTATCACAGTTTCTATGCTTTTAGTTGTTGAAGAAACCTTGAATAACTATAACTTCTGTTCGGATTAAGTGAATCACAAAGAAACCAACTTTTTACTGCCTTAACTTTCTAATCACTCTACACCAATTTTTTAGAGGGGAATTTTCATTCGATACGGAGGAATCTGAATGGTTGTTCCAGTGGATGCGACAGTGACCTTTAAAGTTATTCGTGGTATGATGATTGTACACATACCTAGCCAGTAAATAAATCATTTCATATGGAGGTCGAATTCAGTTCGCGTAAAGCACCTGTATGCATGCGCTATAACATGCTCATTGATTACTCCTATTCTTTGCTACTAGGAGTGAGACTACAATCATACTCGTTACAACTTTAAATGCTAATGTGACAACGCTACTGTAAATATAGATATTTAGTATTGACTGGGGCTGATTGGAACTTCTGGAGTTGTGTTAGTGTACAGATTACTTAATATATATCAGTGCATGGTATTAAGAATTATTTGAAGGTGTTTTTACCAGAAAAAACGATTAGGTCGATACGAAAATAATAACTGGAGTTGAAAAATAATGTTATAAATTATTTCTCATTTGCACAAATTTTCATGCGAAGAGTACATTATTTGCTGATTCCTTACTACCTGTAACTCCAATATAAATACAGATACAAGAACTAATTTTACTGAAGATATTAATGATAAATAATCTACACATATCAATGGTATGTGAAATTACCTGTTTCAAGATTAGAGAGGACACTTACTGTCTCATAAGTAACCCAAGAAAGTCTAAAGTGACAACCATCAGTGTTACACAGTGAAATGCTGAAGTCATGTGGTAACTGCTACGTGAAGAAAACATACCAAAAGCTGAGATGGCGAATCTTGAGCGACTTAGGTGCCTCTAGTGTTTCATATACTGAAAAACCGTGTACCCCGGATGCGACATGCAAGTTAGAATAAGACTAAGCTGGATAGAAGCTAAGAGTGGCCATGGAAATCTTTGACTTTCAGTACGACTCGTGAGACAAAATCAGAGTTACCTAACTGACGTCATAGGGCTGTTAAAAAATCTGTGGCTGCTGAACCTACGAAAGACGCAATATAACGTAGTAAAAATAAGGATAAAACTGTGACTCAGGAATTGACTGGATTGTATGAAAAAGTATGCTAGACTAAGAGCTCTCCATCCACCGGGAAGCCGGCAATTGTTGTACTAATCTTAAATAACAGCCAACATAATGTGCACGCAAATTATCGGGGTATTTTGCTGATATCAGTTACAACGAGAATATTGGATGCTGTTATACTCTTTAGACTATTCCAAATGCATGAAAACTTGATTCACAAGTAGTGGGAGACGTTTCATTAAAGCTGTGAATCACTTCATCATGTGGTCACCCTTCGTAAGATGCCCAAAGATCATCACGGGTATCGCAGGTCAACATCTGTGATATGGTGGCCTTCAATTGGTTAAGAAGGATTATGCACTTGAATTGTCTGTTGAATAAAGGTAAATTTGAGAAATTGAACAACATCATGACATTCTTTCACAAGAACGCTTCAAGTAGAGTGAAGGTGTACAACCATCTCAAACTAACAATGGAATCGGATACAGTTGCTAGATTTTTTATTTCCTCTTAAACAATTCAATCAATCAAATTCTTCAGTCCCTCGTAGGTGCAGTGGTGTAGGTCTCCTGACAAATGAAGAACTTTCTAACCTCAAGTAAGTAGACGATATTGCCTTGCTGTGTGACAACATACAGACCAGTCCAATCCCATTCAATCACTGTGTTTTGCCATTTCCAAGTAAAAACTACTTTTGGGAAACTGGTATTCCTTGGACTCACCCTTGATGATGAATTACTGGAAGTCGGCTAACTGCTTGTCTACACACACAATTATATAAGTGCAAGTACAAGTTTGGCCCATAAGCGTGTATCGAAAGTCACAATGGTGCACGCCAATCCAAGTCACCTCTAGTACTAACTTAGCTGTAAAAGTTCAAGTTTACGACGCACTGACGAAAGTAATTCTGCTCTATGTCTGTGAAACCTGACTTCGAGCTAAGGTTATCAGATGACTCTGTATGTATTTGATCATTGCTATTTTAGTAGGATTGTTTGCATCCAACGGAAATACTATGTCAGTAATCCTGAGGTGCAGCTGAAAGTTCTAAGGTATGATGGAATTCATAACTCATTAGGTATAGTAATCTTGAAATAACAATTTCGGTAAATCGAGCTTGTTTAATGTGTCATCCCAGATGTCTCGATAGTTTTCGCTTTTTTCCAATTCAGAGACTGCTTAGTAGAATAGGACAGGCTATTAGTGTATGACGCGGCACTATAAGGAGAATAGTTGGGTTGGGTTAGCATATATTGGTGGTTCAATACTGTCTGAGTGGAGTGGATAGGATCATGCGATTTCACGGTTTGAAGTGATGCTAAATGCGGCTCGAAACCCAAACCAGTGGCGATCACATTGTAGTTTTCTTATGTGTAAAGTAACAGGAATGCAAGGAAAGCTCCCCTTGAACGTAATTTGAGGAACTTATTATCTGCTAACTCTTGTTTTTGTTTGCTTACTTCATTTACTTTTTTGTCTCAACAGCGCTGTCGTACTACGTTCGGTGGCAGATGTTTTGATGACTTTGTTATACCAAGGCCAAGTTCATAATAATAAACCATGAGCAGGTTTCTCCACTAGGCAATGACAGTTAAGGACACTAACTAGATTCGTGAACCTTGGTAGACCAAGAAGCCTTAAAACTCACGATGTAATGGATGAAGGTCCATTAGGTAGATCAATGAGTAACAGCTCCGTAGTCCTGGGTAATATAAAACCAAAACTCATCCCAGTGTTGCCTACGTACCCACTGACAAAAATCTCCAAAACTCTGAATCTAATATTCTATACTGATATATTCCTATTATTCTTTTATATCCCTTTTATTGATTTAAGTATCACACTGTTCCCGTCCACTTTCTTTTCCGAAGCTTTTTCGAAATGATATACCTTAAATCAAAAACTCATAAGACGAATAAGGACATCAGAGGAAAATACGACCAAGAAGATACGGGATAAATGCATACATACCTCATACCATATACACAACGAAGTGACAATAAAATAAGTAAATACCTAACAATGAATAAATGTGTGATATGTATAAGCAGGATAATAGGAAAAATAAGAACAATAAAAAATAACTACTTACGATATTAACCAGAAATTTGGTGGTGTAAATGAATGTCTACTATCCCGTTCATAAATTACTGATAACAAACGTAAACAAATTGTAAATAAATTAGGCATTGTAGATGAACAACTGGTCGACTGGACAGTAGACTTATCATTCAGCATACTACCACCAGAAGTAATCCCTTTATTCAGCTTATTATCATCTTTTGAAGATGGACTCCACAATTTAAGTTGATTAGCTGAAATGAAACAAAAAAAATGTTGTATTCAGTACGTGCGTCATTTGATCAGCAAAGTTTACAGCATTAAGTATCAATACCAACAGTAATCATAACCAACATTATGACGCCAGACAAACTGGTAAAATTTGGATCATATGCTTGAATATAACTCTGATACTGCCATATGGTTCTAATTTTCTACACACCTCGCTATCTGAATATCACAGCTCTTTTCTACGCTTTTTCCGTGTATCAATCAACAACTAAGTTGAACACAAAACAAGATGAGACATTTGCAACCCTTTAACTAGAAACCTCTCTTTTCTTATCATTAGATTTTACAGGCAGTGCGTTTACACACATAAGTAGTATGCCTACAATATAATAAATTCCAAAGAAGCACAATAGCCATTTAGGCTACAAAATGGTGGAAACAATAATCACCAGACTGTAAAAACAGTTACAAAATAGTACTGTAAAATAACCTTCTGAGTAAATGGTCTTCAAAAAATAAATTCAATAGTTAACTGAAATATACCGGGTCAAAATTCACATATTCCTTTTTTAGACCGGTAATTACAGCTTGATACCTCCTTAACAAGATACAGATGACAATAATACGACTAAGTAACCATATAAAGATTAATAATCAACGGCGGTATATTACATCTACAGTACGCAAAGCAAATATGGTACCTATTTTCTGAAATTCGGATGAGCCAGTAAGGTTTCAACCAGTGAACCAGTGACTGGAAGTCAGTCGTTTAAACAAATAGACCATAACTCCATCTACAGATGATTCAATAAAAAGACTTACAAAATAACAAACGAACACTCGCTTTCATGTGCACATTTTCCTATGAAATACCTAAACAATGAACAAATCAACACGCCATATATAAAAATGACCCCTATTGATATTCAGGATCGCAAAGAATGATAGTGTCCGTAAGTATGGTATGTGCTTTGCACTATTACATTGCAAAGTACTCTTGCAAGATTGGCAGGAGCTTGCGTCTGCACTCACCCTCGGTAGTGAGTCAAAACGTTCGTGTATCTGGGTAGTTGTGCGAGTACCGGTGGAGATGTGAGTTGCGAAATTTCCAACACCGAAAGTGAGAGTGGGATACGTCAATCAAGACCACGTTTGGCGCCGTCGCGACGTTAGTCTGACCGTAAAAGGTTGGATTTACAAAGCTTTGGTGAGAGCAATCCTGCTCTACGCCTGTGAAACCTTGCCTCTATGAGCTGAGGATACGCGACGACTCTGTGTGTTTGATCATTTTGTCTCCGTAGAACTGGTCGCCCCCGTTGGCAACACCATGTCAGCAATCCTGAGGTACGACAGCATGTATTTGGCCATGATGGAGATCGTCATTCAATAAGTGAAGTCATCTGGGAATGCCGGCTTCGGTGGCATGGATATGTGTTATGTCGTCGCAACGGCTTCCACACCGTTTATTGTATGATAACTCTGGGACTGGGAGCGGAGGGGAGATCAGTGTATGACGTGGCACCGTGGATGAAGGACAGCTGTATCCAGTTAGCATCTGTAAACTCATCATGACTCTCTGGATGGGATCCAAGAGATCAAGTAACTCAGTGCCTTTAGACATTATCAGATATGGTTCAGAATCCAAACCAGTGGTCATGCTGTAACTTCCTCCTATCTTCTGTCACTGAAAAGTAATGAGTGTTTCATTTCAAATGCACCATATTGGACTGCCCTTCTAATCATTCTATTCTTACTGTGTTTCATTTTGATCCACTTCCCTTCGCTTCTTTTTCATAGTGTTATTATATTATTTTGTGTGGTGCATTTCTTGGTGTCCTTGCTGTTCCTCGTTTGTGTTCTGATAATAGTAATAACAATAATAAAGTATGATAGCATGGTCGCGAGTTGATGTGTATTACCGAAACCCAACAAGTGCGTCATGATATATCATTGAGTTACTAACAAGAAAGCTGCTGCTCAGTAAGCTATTTGATTTTGAAGAAACTAAGCTACCAGTAAACAATTTAATAAAGAGTCTCACATTGTTCTCCTACTTTATGGCGAAATTGTAATCAAATTTAGATAGGAAATTGAAACAAAAGACTTGTACGATAACCTTTCCAATGACCAATTTTTTAAAGGTCTATGATCACTAAAAGAGGTAAAGCGGAAACCTTTATAATGATTCTATTAAAGATAATGCAAAAAACATCATGTGCATTAAACGATGACTTTGGGATAAATAAAAGACACATCTAAACACACAAAAATCGACCTGATTAAACTAGCACCTACAGTTATTGACAATGGGTCAAATCACAAATGTACACGGTAAATAGATAACTATTTTTAGACAGTAGTGAGGCAGCTGTAGCCCACTGATCCATACAAGCAATTTTTAACCAATACGTCATGGATTCAAGTTCCATATAAACCAACTAGGATCGAAACAACTTGGTAGAATTATTAGACCTTATTCAATAAGTCTCCATGAAGTCGCATACAGTTATTCAGTTGCAGAAGTGAATTAATTAATCCAGACAACTATGAAAAATAATTTGTAATCTGTTTAATTACTTATTCTTAAGAAAGAGATTTTTTCGCCTGGATTCAATTTTTCTGTCCATTAAACATAAAATGTTGATCTAGTGACTAATGACCAATTTGAAAACCTATATGATCAAATAAGCTCACCCGTCCTAGTATTTCTGGAACAACAGAATTAGCTAAGAGTTAAATCAGTAAATATTGCTCATCCGTTTAATAATCTTTATCTAAGACAGAAAAGCATCTTAATTCATGACCATTTCAAAGTACTGATAGGATTACAAAATAATAAACGTTAAAAATAGATTTGATTACGAAATTAAGAAGCTACTCATTCATAGTGATGAAAGCAATTTTATGGCAGACATTTCTTCTAAAAGAATACGTAATTCGGAAGTCTAAACTCTAACCTGGTGAAAATGCTCAATATAAATCCAAAACATAGGGGATCTGAACATCCACATCTATATGAGTTACCTAAAATACATAAAACTGACAATCCGCCGTGTTCAATATTTTCGGTGTCAATTACTCACATACAACCAAGCTAAGTGAAAGATACAACTGCTCTCATTGACTGCCAACTGATATTAACACCAAGGATAAGAATGTTCTTCTTCGATGTAAGCTTTTCATTTACTAATGAAACGCTGACAAAGAAGATTCATATTCTACTTTGTGACTGTATTTTTCGAAGTCCTTTATTCCTTATCCACCCTACTTTTCTAAAAGATTTATGACTATGCACTGACAAAGTTAAGTTCATACTCGAGGGTGAATATCGTTGACAGATTCACGGAGTTGTGATGGATAGTCCTTTAGAACCCCTGCTACTCATGACATAATTTGTCCTCAGTTGGTTGAAGACAACCGGCGGGAAGCCCCGAAACTAGGTTTCTTTCCTTTTCAGTACTCATCAGTAGGGAGGACCTGAAAACTCGGTAATAATGTCCCCTGTGGTATTCAAAGCCACTTCACCTAATATGGCATTCAGAGACGTTACCACCGAGCTATCGTGGCCAACTATTGACCTCCTGTACGACTGAACTAAATAAATTGGTTAACCACTGGACAGTAACTAACTTCATGTTGCCTAGTCCTTAGTACTGACCGAATTATATCGATCATTTTGCAGAGGACATCAGTTCCCTAGAAGTTGCAAAGAGGCCAAGGAGTACAAAACTTAGGTTCAGAGCTAGCCAACCACCGACTGCCTCCAACCAACTAAAATCCATCAAAGTGCATCACGATGATGAACCACCTAGCTTGGTGGTCACATTGCAAAATGATCAACGACATTCAGCACTCAGGACTAGACAACACGAGAGTGGTTGCTCTCCAGTAACCAGTACATTTTTTTCTTGTTACCCTTTTTTAATGTCTGTGCTGGACAGTAGTATAAGTTTATCAATAGGATAACAATCCATCTAGATTCTTGAAATACGAGCTTAATATAAACTTCATTAACAGAAACTAGATACAATGTGAGTGGTAAAAAATTTGACACGAATATGTCTCTATGACTTTTTTATAAGGACTTTAATGAAACATTCAAGTCACATATACTAATATGCTGGAAATAACACTACTTAGATATCTCACCAAGTTAAATGTTTTGCAGTAATTTGGCCCACATAAAAATCATGCCTAACTGAACATGTGTAGTGGAGATAAGGGCCCATTGGTTTAGGCAGTTGACTTTCAACCAATGAGTTACGCGTCCAAATCCCCAATTCACCCACTGAAGTGTGAGCAGCCAGTTACTATCATCAACCTCCATGCAATAGGTGTGGCTCATTGCATACTGCAAAAATGTGCAGATGACTTCTGAGAGCACTTCAGTCGAACGTGTGTATTACGTTCGCATAGTAACACATTACATGAAATGCACGAATATAAACCTTAATAAATGCAATTAATAAAATAGCGACATTGTATTACATCATCCGAAAAACCATTAGAGTATAACTTAACACATACTGATTTGAACACGTCTGAAGAAATTTACCCTCAGCCCAAATCATATGAATAAGTTAAATAATGACAATTTAATTAGAAATATTATGCTACAGTATGGCTGTAGAGGTTTAATGTTTTCTTCAAAAACATGAATGTGATACAGTCAATAACTTCTTCGCAGATGGAGGGCAAAATAAGGGATTTAGATGGGTTTCTGTAATTTACGTTCATGAAACTCGAAATTATGATGTTTTTCGTTTACTTAACCACAAGGAATATTACAATTCATCTTCCAATTACAGATCAAAGTTTTTTCGAAGTACTTTAGAGCTGGTTTCCTTCTAGACCCCATTGGGATGTTGGATTGTTGATTGATATCGACCTTAAGTAGTTAATAGTTGTAAAAAGTTCGATATGTACAGCAAAACACAGTTTGGTTTCCGTTAAATTAAGCCGCCTGTGAAACAGACGACATACTAAGAACCATTAAACATATAGAATAGTAGTGTGCAATTATATATTTTCATACTAGACGGCTGCTGGATAGTCCTTGTGAAAGCAAATATAAAAAGGTTGAAGGCCTAGAAAACCCTGATGGTACTATTGTTATCATTACTTACTCTTCTTAGGGCTTTAGCCTCTTGATCGCCCTTGGATACATAACATTAGGTAAGTTATATGTTATTTTTGACTTTCTGTTGATTTAATTTCAAGTTTTCTAACGTTTATCAAAATTTTGGATCATGTTTCTAAAAATTGCCATGTTTTCCAACCTTTACAGTTACCGAAAATACCAATGCATTATAAAATCCGAAATGAATACAAATGGTGAATAATGTACAATTAATGCGACGAAGATGTAAACAATATTTAACACTATTGAGGATATGATAAGTCATAAACTCACTGATATATTCACTTCTGATTAGTGTTTTATTCACAAGTATCATTCCCAAGGAATACTCAAACAGGAATGATAGAAACAAAAGTCGGAAGTAATGCTTTAAACAGAAGATAATTCATAGGACACAACTTCTGCTACTTAAAAGTATACTCTTCAGTTGGAGGAAAGACACTTTGATAAGATCGACGATCTATATGAAGTCTATCTAAACAAGATAGTGTCTGAATTCTTAAATCTAATGCAACACAAGCAACTCTTCAGGAAATGCTTTCAATATGACAAAACGCACTTTTACAGCAATTACAAGGCAGAATACTTAAATGCTAGTGGAAATGCCAGAAATAAACAGATACCTATAGAAGTTCATAGAATATTTTAAGATCCACGTAATGCTTTGTCCCATTTAGTACTTTGATCCAAAGAAAAGAGTTTATATTACACTATCTTATACAAAGAAATCAGGTAGGAAAAGTCTTCTTTAAAATAAAGCTTGAATTTATCAGCGGAAAAAAAAATCAAACACCAGCAATCACGCACATTTCCGTATAATAGACAATGAGCTGCACCTATATGAGGGCTAGTGATACTACCAGGCTGCCTATTCCTCGGTAGGCAGTGTGGGATCCGAACCTGCGATCTATGGCTTCGAAGTCCAGACCCAAGAGTCACAATTCCACAATCTACCTCCAGGGTTACATATTATGCTACTAAGTTTGTTTCTGTTCAGAAATCGGAAAATATGCGTTGTTTTTAGGTTGGAATTCATCATGGACTGACATCAGTTAGAGGAACATTGGAAACTTGGGATCACCCAACAGCTGGTTCGTTCAAGTATAGCACTCACCAGCAGTGTGCACCTATGACCCCTCCCCCCAGGGACTGAAGCCAGGACCTTCAGGTTCCGTGACCACCATGTTACCATTGAGCTAACCACTGGGTCGAATCCAATGGTCCACATTTCCTACTTCTGTTAGTCCAACGATATAGCACGACCTAGATCCAATGTCGTCATTGAGTAACTGTCCGCATGTTCGACTCCACTGGTCATCAATGAGCACTAGGTTAATTCTGTCTGGAGCTTTATTAATTGATTTTAGGTTGGAGTTCATCATGAAATGACATCAGTTGGAGGAACATTAAGTGACTAGCTTTGAAAGGTGATTCCCGAAGTTCCAATGAAAAGTCGCGACTAATGGAGTCAACCAAGTTGAACATGAGGATAGTTACTCAATGACGACATTGGATGTAGGTCGCGCTATATCGTGAACTAACAGAAGTAGGAAATGTGGACCATTGGATTCCGACCCAGTGGCTCAGTGATAACGTGCTGGTCACTGAACCTGAAGGTCCTGAGTTTGATCCCTGGCGGGGTGGGGTGGTGGGTGCGCACTGCTGGCCAGTCCCATACTAGAACGAACCAGCTGTTGGGTGATCCCAAGTTTCCAATGTTTCGCCAACTGATGTCAGTCTATGATGAATTCCAACCTAAAATCAATGAATTAATCCCCACAAACCTCCAGATAGAAATATACATTGGCACAAATGCCTGTCATATAAACGATTATTTCACATCTGACTGAATCTACCGGTTTTAAGCACAGTAGGAGTGTGTGTATCCAAATGACTTCAAAAACATTTGGAATCCCATGCATTTCAAAGCCTTTTTAGTAGGTAAACATTTGAATGCCTAACTAAATATCAAAGGAACGGATTACAAAATTTATAGTAGGATAGACTTCAAAGTTTTGCATAAAATTTGTTTTGTGGGCAAACTTAGGTTTATTAGTACGTCCGCCAAATATAAATTCAAGTTTCTTTCAATTTGAGTCTAATTCATTAGCCTTGACCTAGTGAAAGCGATTGAATTAAACATATCACACTTTACTCATTACTAGCTTATTTCTAAACATTGTATTAACACATTTAACCCTTTCTGATCTTCATACACAACGCGCCAAACACGTAATCTGATCCTTCGAAATAAGTATTCCACAAATTCCTTTATATTTTTCAAGTGAACATGGTCCTTTGTCAATACAAGCCAAATTTACAAAATAAGATAGTTGTTTCAAACGTGATTGTGTTTGGTGATACATCTAGTACTTGTCGCCTAGCACCACAGTTTACATTGAAATTTATATCAGATTTATTCAATACACAATAATAAGTGAAACAAAAATTAAAGTGTATGTACGAAGGAAATGTAGACACTTACAATCAGTTACCATAATAACAGATTCATATATTAAATGATTGAAAAATGAACCCATTGAACATAATTCATCAACCGTAAATGATTTGTTTAATTCAAACAGTTCTGCATCATCCAAAATGCTGTAAAATGAATAACAAGTAGCATTTCAATGAATTCTTATAATTCTTATGATCGAAGTATTTTTTTTTAAAAACTGTTATTATTTAACGAATTCATTTTAAATAATTCAATGAAAGGTTTGAAATAACCAAGAAATAGGGCATTGTGTATTGATGCTTGAAGGCTTAACTACTTATCTGAATAATTCGCCCTTCTCAAACTTAAAAATGACAATGTATAATCTCACTAGTATGTGATTTACAATTAAACTGCTTTTTACAGATATTCCGGTAGAATGCGAGTATTCAAACTATTTGTAAGATTCTCAGTTGCTGATGAAGGTGATGCTATTCAATGTCAGCCAACTGTAAGGCATCTCCATGGTTTTCTTTAAAAAGCATAATCCAATAGTAAATGGTAATTGGCTCGATAACAAGTACTCAAACTGTTCGATCTGCACTTTTGAGTAGTTGGAAACCAATCTATGTGTTAGATGAGCGTTTTGCTCATTCGAGGTCTATGTTATTAGCTATGCACTTGGACTGATTTGGCTGTACAAGTCGAACTGGTCAAATCATCTAGAAACTATACAGTTATCTGAATAGATTCAGTGTTCACTAGATGAAGCTTGCAACCTAAACATTCTGGTTTACCAAAGGAATTACAGTAAGATTCGATGATTAGGTCATGCACAGGCTTATAATCTTTATCATGAACTGAGAATTCTGCAAAAACTTGGTTTCATTCTAAGTATTGCTACGGTGATATATTATATATGCAAGAACATAGCACTTGATTGATGGTCACAGAAGTAATGAACTGCATGCAGAGGAAAGTTATGTTCGTAAAGAAAACTAACTTGGTAAAATTCAAAAGTTAGAACACTCGTACTTCAGTTTCCGGTATTCGCTATTTTAGTAGACTGCAGATAAAAGGAAATAAATCTTTTTTTAAACTTGTGCTGCTTAGACAACGAGGATGAAAATTTTAATCGCTGTTGAGTAGATACATAGCTACCCATAAGAATGTTACACGCACTGAATTCATTTGCCAATTTACATGGACACTTTCTTAAGAACAAGAGTGTGAATACTATTTAAAAGTGCACCTTTAACTCCAGTTCGTTTGGGGTTATCAGAGTCAGCCTTTCTTACAACAAAAGGCCAAATCCTAAGTTGAGACAGCAGATTCAGTTACTGAATTTCTAAGAGCTTCATATTATAGATCAGTCTTAAATTAACAAAGAGAAGAAAGTCAAAATATTGCGTTATCACTTTCCTTTCCATCGGATTACTGGTCAAGAAGATTCGTAATAACTAATTCACTAAAGTGAAGTTAGATGACAATCAGTAAGCACTTAAGTAAAATGAGGAGCTTACCTTAATAAATTGCTCGTAGCTGCAGCAAATATCTGCATTAAATGAGATTCATGTGGTTCTAAATAGTATACTGATTGCGAATTCATAATTACATTGGCCCAATCACGTACTGATCCGCAGCAAGAAATTAAACGCCACATACGAGGTAGCAAATCTCCTAATGACAAACCTATTCCAAGTATTTAGATAAAAACAATATGAAATGAATGTTGAGTATATTTAAACCAAAGTTATGACTTACATTTAATTCAATTGAGAAATTGGTGTTATAACAGATGAAATTAGTTTCAGAACCTACATTGGTCACCCAATCAATTTCTCCGGAAAGTCTTTAGATTTTCCAGAGTAAACTAAATTATACTACAATTCAATCCAACTTTTATATCATATGATCAGTATTAATAGCACAATCCCTTGGTTTAAATTCATCTGACGTTCTGAATAGGTGTGAATTAAATAAACATCAATAGTGGTAAAGTCTGTGTTGCAAGCGTCCTGGATAATCTTATGTCATGAACTGATAGACTTGATAACAATTTACCTTACGGTAATTAACATAAGCTACACGTACACACAATAACACGTTAAAACATCAGCGACTTAGTTGGGTGATTATATTGCACACTTCAATATAGCATTTCACTTATTTTTAGGAACTAGAGACCTATAGAAGCTACCATCCAACTACTAATCAGCTCTGAAACTAAGTCTGATGAATTTCTTATAAACTCATCATATCTTTCGTCACAGATTGCCTACAACTCACATTGTTTCAATATATTCAAAATAATTCCACGACCAGAAAATGTATTCAAACTCATCTATATATACAACTTCAATCAAACAATGGGAAACAAATAGTATTTCAAGAGAAATATGAAGCATATATTATAAGACAGCAAGTTTTTATGAGTCGATATTTATGTGATTCACAGTGTCACAAAGTTACTGATACTGTTTCACAACACATCTGCATACTGCCAACCAGATGGTAAACCAATAAACAACTTCCAAACAGCGACTACTCCACTGATGAAATTAGAATTTTTCTCTAGGGGTTTTAAGGATATTTTAGGTGAAAATATTGTTCTTGCAAACTGAAACCGATCTTATAACGAAAACGGTCTTCAAAACAAAGAAAATTTATTCAACATACCAGCCAGAATAGCGCTTCTAATTTCTTTTAAACTTCCTGAAGTAAAGCAATACAGCATACAGACAGCTTTTAATGATTTAGGCAAATCACTTGGTCCAGGACAATCTGAACGTGCAGAAGAAAGGTTTGGAACATAATTATTCCTTCTTTCCTTTTTATTTTACATCTAGCACGATATGCAGAAGAATTAGTTAGTTGGCGTAGAAAATTTGAAAGACCATGACGAACACGATACGCATAGCCATCGAGATCAGAGTTATTCGATTTGCTACCCATTCTTGATAAGGTGGTAATAAGCCTGCTACAGCAAGTTTCTCTGCTTTAGATGGCGTTCCAGGACCAGACTGGTTTGTTGTTGTGTAACTCAAATTTGTGGAATTTGAATGGCCTGCATTAGACGTACCTACATCTAATCCATTGGCTTCAGGTAAACTTAATTCAGCTTGTGCATATAAGTCAGCGAATAACAAACGAACCATACGCCCATTCCAAAGTAGTCTTAATTGACTGGTTACAAATGACATGGCTTCTTGTAATCTAAATACAAATTAACAGGTAATAATAATAAGATATATTGGCTCAATAAACTAAACTTAAGAGATGGTATAGTGTTGACAAACATGGGTATTTTTAAACAAACAGGGCTGAATTCTGTAATTGCCAAACATATCAAGTACTAAGAAACTGTAGATGCGTCAAAAAAAAACAGTATCGCGAAAATTGTTGAGTAATATATTGTTCTAAAATCTAAATCACCAATACCTGGAATATGCCTCCAACAAATTTAAAAACCATAGATTAAGTGGTTTGTTATAAACTTCCAATCATTATTCAACCAAAATAGAAAGTTCAGTAAACTACCCGAAGACATAAACTCCATATACTAGAATATCTTTAAGATAAGCAGGAAAACAAATTCAGTTCATGCAATAGTAGCTTCATGAATTAGTATATTATTAAGAAGTGACCAGAAGAGAAATCAACACCATTGCTTAATTGGAGTTAATCGACAGAGAGCCCTGAAGCTAAGTGTCGTGCTTGTTGGCACCCATCAGTAAGGCGTATCTGCAAACTAGAAGGAACTGATGCCCTCCGTGAGATTCGAACCCACATCACCCCGTATGATAGTAAGCAATGTTAACACTGAGCTATTCCGGTCGCAAGTGACCTTCTGTATGACTCGACTAGATACACTGACTAATCTCATAGGAGAGCAACCAATTTCATGGTGTCTAGTCTTGAGCCCTGACCGAATTCTATCGACCAAGCACAACCAACTAACATCCATCAAAGTGGACCGCGATGGTAAGCCTCTTAATTTGGTGGCCACACTGCAAAATGATTGATAGGGTTCAGTCAGCATTCAGCACTAGACAACATAAAAGTGATCGGTCTCCAGTGACCAATCAATGTACAGAAATAAACAATTTAAGTCATAAGCCACTGAGGTGGAAGTCTCTAAGCTTCGATTTTTGAGCCATGTTAGATGTATTGGGGTTATCATTGAAGATTGAGAATAATTCATTTACCCCTCTTAGGATAATTCTGTATACGAAATATATATATATATATATATATATATATATATATATATATATATATATATGCATACGGTGACTCATAATCACACAGGATAAGATAGGATAACGATCCTAAAAACTAATATACTTAGATCCACAGATTGATAACTGATACTTTGTTCGTCGAGTCAACAGCAGAGACTGGCAGTGGAACACTGATCACAGATATGTGGAGAATCTCATTACCAATGAAAACTGAGGAATGACAAGTGACAAAATTATAAAAATCAGGTGTTGGAAGTTATATCACTAACTTGATGTAATTATGAGCGATGAACTGTACTCCAAACGTTAACCAGTGTTACGTTAAATAAGTTAGCCTAATATGGAGTTATAATCTATACTAGTGCCCATGTTTTAGACATAAGTTATGCACAGAAAAGTATTCTAATAGACTACATTAGCATTAGGAGTCTCTGTATGGATCGTACATTTTTAAATCTGTCAAAATTATTCAGTGATCAGTATGTCGATTTCATCTGCTCTTTATACGGAGTCAAAAATGCTCACTTTTTAAAATAATATACATTTATGAAACTGAAAATTAATACAGGTAAATTGTGCCCGTGGGTTTGATTAACTTCTCTTTGAAAGTGACTTCAATTCATCATTCAGGTGTGCTCACGCTTTTAATAGCCTTAAGTGACTGTATATATCATCACGTTTACAAGAACTTACGAATTATCGAGTGACTGAGCGAACCAGCCCAGAATCGGATGCCAACTGCAAAGATTCGATTTCTTACTGCCCACATAAGTTCCCAAATAATGCATGAATTTGGATAGAACAATCTATATAAATAATAAAGAGAAGTGAAACTTCAGTGATCAGGCTAATTTCTAAAAGTTACTACCAAAAACTTAAATAATTAGGTGTGTAGTATATTGAATCACTTAAGGAAATGTTTGTAATCCCATAGATTATACAGTCAACATTTGAAATGATGTATCTTTTAGTGAAGCTGTCGCTTCTCAACCTATGCACTTGACTTTTAACCGCTGGATCACAGATTCCGATGCTCACTCACGTACCGTAGTTTGTGTTCTTAAACATAAGTTTAGCTCACTACCAAATCCATAGAACTTGATATGGGTATCAAATCGAACTGTTTTAATTCACCAACTGCTTTAGAAATCACAAAGAATATGACATTCTTCAGTTCAAATCTTAGAAATTATACAGACTCCATTATAATCAGTGTCAGTACTTGAAAATGACAATCTCTTTAATTATAAGTAGGTATACTGAAATATCAGCCTCATAGGCAGTACGCGGAAGCATGAAATGTATTCATAGTTTGGTTCTAGAAAGTAATCACATCTATGTAATAAAACAACCATTTTGACCGAATGTGAGCAGTGAGATGGTCGCGCTGTCGTGAACTGGTAGAAGTTAGAAATATGGGTCATTGGATGCCAACCCAGTGGCTCAATGGTAACGTACCCGCAGCTGACCTGAAGGTGCTGGGTTCGATCCCTGGCGGTCATGGGTGCGCACTGCTGAGGACGAAATAGCTGTCCAGTGCTCCCAGGTTCCCAATGTTCCTTAACTGGTGGCAGTCCATGATGAATACCAACTTGAGATCACAAATATTTTGAACTTTTCATCCAGTTTGCTGAACTAGGCTAACAAAAGTGCTCACTCATTTAGGCTTCAAGAAAGCTTTTAATAAGTAGTCCGTAAGATCAGACAGAAACAGACGGGATTAGTGAAACATTTATTCACCTTTATGAAATCCAATAATACAATACGACGTGATGTATCTGGAAAAAGCAATGTTGTCGGGAGTGTTAGATCCCCAAAACTGGAAGCTTTATGCTTAAATTTCACAAATTTACCTGCTAGTAGTTTGCATTTATTTTTTTTGTGTATCGCTGGAGTTTAAGTCTTTTAAAAAAACTATTTCCCCACTGGCTAATCGTCCACATTTAATATGCCAAGTTGTCTGTTCGCCACAAGGACGTTCATATCGTGTATGCACTCAAGAGTTGCACACCTGAGATTCAAACTTGTCGACTGAAGTAAACCCTATTCGGTTCAATACTGTTTTCATCCTTGTGTTATCTAGGCAAGTTTCCGAGCATCATATCGTTCATTTGGCATTCAGATTAACATCCCCAAGCTAACCGTAACTGAAAATCTCAAGTGATACATTCGCTTAAAACAGCTCCGGTAATCTGGTCACAAACGTAACTGCCAAGCACATTTATATGAAATGTAACAGAGGATAAGTGACTTCAACAATATGATAAGGGGTTGAACTGTTAGCTTAGGGGTTAAACCATAGATTGAAAGAGAAATAAATGTATAAATCACCAAACGGAAGTTTAATAAACAGTAAACTGTTGTTAAACACAATATAAACCTAAACCTCCTTACAGCTACGGCTTCAATAAATCTAAGTATGTACATTTGAAAGGTGTATGCTAATCAACCTTGTAAACCATTTCAATGATATGTTTAGCCATGAACGGAGTTGAGCATCTATTGTCTGCATCAATGGGATCATTCGATTTGATTTGTGCTCTATGAACCTTATTTGCATAAATCGATGGGTCTTCCCAATGTACCACACGTATCTTTTGGTGCAGTTCATATAAACACGCATAAAAAATGAATGAATGACTAGATTGTACAAATTGTATTCCACGAAGATATCACAAATTTCAAAGAGAATTGTGTTCAAATGTATTATTAGTCTTGTAAAAGTAAGAAGAATACTCAACCATTTACCAACTTACACAAAATTCCGTACAATTTGAGACCAAAATATCAGTTTCTAACAAACTGAGTTGAATTAGGTTAGCTAAATAGCATTAGTAAAATTAATACGAAGAAAAAAGAGTTATTAAAATGCTGTTACATCAATTGATTTCGTTTATATACGGCTAATGTAGAGTGAAAACTTCTACGTTCAGTAATACAATTTTGATAGTATAACCACACGTGTCATCAGAAAAGAATACTACTACGTTAGACCATCTTATTAATTAGACTGATCTATTCTTCATTTAGCAGCCCAATCCTAATGTAGGGGGATAAGGACGATGGGACTCGAATCAGCAGCTCAAGTTTCCTTTTAGCTCCAATCATCATCATCATCCTCTTACATTATTACCAATTTGGCAAAAATAAACGATATCTCAGATAATTTCACTAAAACTAATCACTTGCTTCTCTTATTTAACTCAGGTCGATATACACTGAGACAAGAGGAAGTGGCTAGTCAGCCAGTGTGATGATGGATCAACAGATATACATTACTCCACTCAATCATATGACAGCTGGGCACAGCTCTCGATGAATGAAATAAAATAGATACACGATCAGTGGTTGAATCACGTAGCTCATTCGACAAAGTGAAGAATTGATAACGTGGAAGCTAGCGCTTTAAAGTTGGCCGTTTTACAGGTTTTTCATTTCCACTACCGAATACTAATCATAATCCGATTTCATTTTACCGTTGCCAAAATGTACAGTGAATAGTCAAGTATTAAGAACAAACTAAACAACTGCAATATGGCCATACATATACGGAGGTGTTTTACCCTTTGAAAAAAAGAAAACATGGGGTATTTTCAACGCTTGACAGCCTGTGTCAGTGAGGTAGCACTGCTTGTTCATGGGTAAATTACTGATGAACTTTCATAGAGGACAAAACAAAAACAGCGGTCGCACGTATTATCATCTAAACTTCGCCAACTCATACTCGATGATAACCGTACACAGCAGATCCCTCCTCAAGATTGGTGAAAAACAAATATATGACCCAACAATTCAGAAATGATGGACACTGTACCTATCAACTAAGACTGTGACTACACCCAAAGTAAAATATGCCAAAAATGAGAAAGTCTTCTGAGCCTATGAAGCACTAAAACATCGCGAATCGTCCTTAAACGAAAACAAGATTCAAAATGATAAACATAAGATTTCCAGTGCGGGTATCCGGCATGTTGTTATGTCAGATTCATGTAGTGTGAGTGATGTGTATGGCCATTATTCCGTCCATTGTTTGAAGTGAGTGATTTTGAGCGTAATTTTAATTATTCTTTTCATTTATTGTGATATTTTTAATCTAGGGTTCAGCATTAAGCTTACGTGGCAACATGTTAGACACCGGAGGTGTAATATTTCGCTAGAAGTATTCATTATATATATATATATATATATATATATATATATATATAAACACCCTCAGGTGACACCACAATTACATATGTATATCCCGTTGTGTACATACATTAAAATATTTAGAAATTCCAACAAAGCGATTAGCACTTACCAATTAGACATAATATGTATGATCCCTCTAGTTGAGGCAATACATTATCAAACTCTTCTGAAATGGCATATAACGTAAGAATGATTTTGGAGCACAGTCGTTCTCTAACTATAATATCATACGCCTATAATTAAAATAAAAGAACATAATGAAGAAAAAACTTATTCAAAAAAAGAATGCACACGTCAGTAAAGAGACTGAATTCTTGGGGAAAAAAATGCGAATCACTGACACCAAGCAGCATCTTAGCTTTTTACTAATGAAGTGAAGATTTCAAGGACCATGCAACTGACTGACTGAAAAAACCAACATCTAACCTCGCGCATGGGTGTATCACCTTAAGTTCCCACACTTCACAGTAGGACACAAAGAAAGGGTGGGTAGAAAAAGTTATATCAAAGACGATAAAGGACTGTGTCAAACTTTCTTGAACAACATTTCCTAATAAGCACGTCCACCGCATATGCTTTAAAATAAGTAGATAGGATTTGGATTTGCCTGTCGATAAGAGAGAAGAAAAATGGATAAATACAGACCAATAGTATAAATTAATATGTTAGATTGAGTTCTAATGGGATTAATGAAAAGTGCTGAAATTAACCCCTCTGTATGATGATTTTCCTCTGCCTGCGGACTAGTCATTTATCAATGAAATCTTTCCTTTGTGATTTTTTGCCTTTTGTTGATGTGATTTAATGAGTAGGATCACTGGTGCTTGAGTTGCCAGTGTTTCTTTCATTTCCTTATACACCGTTGAGTTCTGTCATTTGTGGAGGTATTGAAAGCATAACATGGATTGGTTAACAAGCCCCACAGTATAAAAAGTAAAACTTTAAATACAATTACTAAAGTCTCTAAGTTGAACTGTGAATAATATATATATATATATATATATATATATATATATATATACTACTCAGCAGCAGCTTACGGATACGTAGGCAGCTTGGCAACAAGAAACACTATTTGTTTCAGAACTGATGATTCATCCTTCAATAGATTTGATGACGATCAAGAAACTATTGTAAGCTTGACACCTTAGTCGAGTTTATTTATAACAATAACTTAGTTGAGTGGAAGATTTTTAGTTCGATGTACTGAATTCAGATAAAGAGTCACAAGACCGACGTGAAGAAATCATTTCGCAATAAGAGAATACTGGAGAACCGGTAATGATTAGTAAAAAAGGTTACAGACAGTATATCGCTACTATTGGACGACTAGCTTTGCTCTGAATGATATACAATATCTATTTGTTCACTTATTTTGCATGCATTGATCCATGACTCCGGGACAACATAAATAAACTACACCTTATTCTCTTGTTCATGAAAAATCAGTGCTATCCATTTACTCAGAAAAGATTTCAAACAAACACTTTTTGCGTTACCATACACAGCAGTAAGTTACAATCCGCTAAAATCCGAATTAAAAATTGAGTTTTACAAATAATAAATGAGTATCATCGACTGAAAGAGATTCTTGATAACTTCTCATTAACATCCAATTTATTTCCAAAACATACACCAAAGTTTAAAGCTGCCAGTTCAAAGTATTAGTATGACAAGTGATCGTCACAAACGACACAGAACACTCGTTATGATGAACATTACGTTATTAATTGCGAAAATCACTAATCTTGGATATAAAAAAGACTATTGATCAGAGGACGTTAGATACTGATCGATATTTGAACTTGCCAAATAACACTTCACGATAAAGGACTTGAATTTTACTACTTTCCAAATCACACTCGACTTTTCAAAGTCACCAAGTATGCTGAACTGTGAAACGGCGTACCAACGACTATGGGATGATAAAACTAGCCTTACTCAATCAACAGCATATTATATAGTGTCAGGTCAGTCAACAAGTTATCCACAGTGACTATCTTCTCAAATACCTAGGTATTTATGTTAAGCACGAAAAATCCCCTATAAGCAACAAGGTGGGATAAAAAATCTAATTTCCAATGGTTTATAAAAGCTTTCGTTAGATGTATATCAAGGTACTACATTCAAACTAATATGAACCTCACTAGTAGTCAGCAATATAATCTTTTTCAAGTACAGTCGATGCAGAACTTATAACAGTACATGAAAATCGAATTCAGTCTTCATGAAAAAATGGTTTCACGTAAATACTGAAGAGATTTAACCATCTAGGTAATTTTTCATCAATACTATAAGTGTAAATCTTGCGATAGCTACAATAGACATATTTTATTAATTATCCAGACATTAAAATTTGGTTTCACCCAAAGTCATCACCTTGAATCATGCCAACTTGGATTGATTCTACGAAATCAAAGTTAAACGATGCCGTTCTAGTTAACACATTCAACATTTTAACAATCAGAGGGATAAAATATGATTTCTGATGAAAATTTGTAGTGAAAAATATGAATGATAAAAGCCAACTGACTTTAAGAATATTGCTTCAAAATCGAATCGCAAATTCTCATACTTTTATTGTGAAGGTGTATCAAGTGGTGACTAATATTATGAAAACAGTCAATAAGATAAATATAAAAACATAAGGTGACACAGTTCTTCAAGAAAAAAATCCCATTAAGATGGAAATTTTGCATTTACCTCATTCATCATGGAATTTATATGTAGTATAAATCCAGGTACAGTTAAAATATTTGTCGCAAACGAAAGTACAAGTTTCTGGGGAAATTTTTCATGTATCAATGGTCTGTAATGTATACGAAACAATGAGCAATGTAGAGAAATAAATTGCATAATTTGTATACATAATTTTGAATTAAAAACGTTGCATGCAACATTGTAAAATCAAACTGAAAGGCATGGATAAAGTTAGGTTATTCATAAATATTGCCTGTTTGATTCGAAGAAAGCTTTATATATATATATATATATATATATATATATATATATATATATATATATATATATATATATATATATATATATATATTTAAAACGGCTTTTCAATGAATCGGCCAGAGGTGACCTCAAATATATTGAACACGACAATCTGTTAAGATAGTCTGCTCATTGACAATTAAAACTCATCATCAGAAAGATCAACTTAAGACGAAATATCAGTCTAATTTATAATCCAATAATTCCCAATCAAATATTACCTAGATACTTGTGAAACTTGGCAATGTGTCATAAAATTACACAATTAGTCTTGATTAAATGATCACATTGCAATAGCTTAGTACTTACTATCAAACGTTGAAACTTAAACTGAAGGATTATTATACTATTTTAAAAAGGATTTTATTTTTTGCTCAGCCGAATCACTTACCTTATTTTATTTTAGTACTTTTGTTTGTCACTGATTATAGCTCTGTACTACCTAATGTATGACCACTTGAACTAAACCAAATTAATTGGAAACGTATACTGTTACCAGCGCTTGAATTAGACAGCTTGATTGAAATTTACTACTTCAAAATTTTTATCCTAGATAATACTCAAGTGAAAACCATTGACTGAGACAACAAACACTAAAAACGCTTTTCTGGTAGTCTAGTGAAAACAGAAATCGTTAAGTAGGAAATCGTCTCATCAAATATTATTCTCAAGCCAACTGCATCAGAAAACAGAATATTTACAGTGACCCACTCTGTTCTAAAGTTAACCGAATGGCTAGGTTCAATAGATGTATGAATATCGATAGTTCCACCCCCACCCCACCCCCAGTGGACCGATATAAACAGGTTATGGCAGATAAAACCTTTAGTTTAAGAAATACACAGTTTGAAAGTAATTGAGGTATTTCATCGGATGTGTCAACCTCGCCTGGTTAACTAGTTCACTAGTTACTAGCCGGTCCTAAGCCCGGGTAAAGAGGGAAGGTTGGGCATACCACTAGCAACCCTACCCCAGAAAACAAATCTAACCGCTAAAGAAACTTCAAAGCACAAACAAAATATAAAAAATAATAACAAAATTATTTCTTTCTGGAATCGGAGAGGCGAAATGACACCAGTTGGTGAAAGCCTTCGGGAAGCCAATTGGCCGATGTGTCTTCTCTTCTCTCAATGAAACCGAAAGTAAACATGGAGACATGTAATGTCCGCACCATGTTTAAACCCAGCAAGGCAGCCCAGATTACAAACGAGATGAAGAGGTATCACATCGAAGTGCTTGGAATTTGCGAAAGCAGATGGAATGGAAGTGGACTCTCCAAACTGTCAACTGGAGACTCAATAACCTACTCCGATATTGTCACCCAGATGACAACCACGAGCATACTGAGTTTTGGAGTGGCTATCATGATGTCCCTAACAGCATCGAAGGCTCTCTCTCATACAGTGGGAACCAATCTCCTCATGCAGGATCAGGATCATGACAGCGAGGTTCAACTCAAAAGGAAGGAAGGTCACAATCATACAATGCCAATACTACCCACCTACAAATAATGCAGAGCAAGAGAAAAAGGAGGAATTCTACAGACAACTTCAATCAACACTGGAAAAGACGTCAGTTGGCGATATCAAAATTCTAATGGGCGACATGAATGCCAAACTGGAAGCAGACAACACAGGAAGAGAACTAACCATGGGTCGAGAAGCGCTCGGTGAGGTGATGAACGAGAATGGAGAATTGTTTGCAGAATTCTGTGCATTCAACGATTTGGTGATTTGAGTCAGGCAGCGTGTTCAAGCACAAGGGTATCCACAAAGCGACATGGATTCGAGTTCACCAGATGGATACACTAAAAATCAAATCGACTTTATCTCAATCTCGAGAAAATGGAGACGCAGTCTACTTGACACAAGGTCAAGAAGAGGAGCAGATGTAGGTTCAGACCACTATCTAGTGCAAGGAACCTTCCAAATCAAGTTAAAAGCCTTCAAGGAAGCTGGTGATAGACCTCAATTCAAGTACAACACTCGGAAAGAAACTGAAGGATGAAACTACAAAGGAAATCTTCACGGCAGCCGTCAAGACGAAATGGGAGATATCGAGGAACATCCCTGAAGAAACCTGTGTGAAGAACACTGGAAGTCTTTGAAAGAGATGTGGAAAGAAACCTGCACAATCGTATTACTAAGGAAGAAGAAAGAAGGTAAGGAATGAATCTCGATGGATATATGGAAGCTGGTAGAGGAGAGGAGAAGAGAATGGTGAAGCAGAAGATAAACCAGTGCAAGGATGCTCAACGACAAGAGGAACTGAGCACAATGTATAAAACACTGGATAAAGAAGTGAAGAAGAGTGTGCGGAAAGACAAAAGACAATTCTACGAAAGTGGCAAGGGAAGCAGAACAGGCTGTAGGTAAGAGAGACCTGACAACACTGTGTCAAATAACCAGGTTACTATCTGGGAAGAGATAAACGCAGACGAAACCAATAAAAGATGATGACGGAAATTTAAATACGAAAGAAGAGAAACAAAGGAAACGACGGGCCGACCACTTCAAGAAGCTCTTGAATCGACCATCACCTGCACTTCGTCCAGAAATGCCACCTGCAGCCGCTGAACCACAAGTGAACATAAATCCTCCAACAAAAATGGAAGTCCTGAGCGACATAAAGCTACTGAAATGTGGGAAAGCAGCAGGACCAGATGGAATCCCACCAGAAACACTGAGAACAGACACAGAGACAACAGCGGACATGCTCACACCACACCACTATTGCAGAAGGTGTGGAAGGAAGAGAAGGTACCTGGCGATTGCAAGGAGGGTTACCTTGTCAAACTCCCGAAGAAGGGCGACCTCAGTGTCTGCAAGAACTGGCGCCGAATCACTCTCCTGTCCACTTGATGCAAGCTTAACTTTAAGCCGCACCATCCTGGAGAGGCTAAAGGATGCGCTAGATTCAAAACTACGACCAGAACAGGCAGGCTTCAGGAAGTATAAATCATGTGCAGACCAAATTGCAACGCTACGCTTCGCATCATCATAGAACAGAGCATAGAATGGCAATCAGCTCTATACCTCAACTTCATCGACTTTGAGAAGGCCTTTGACAGTGTCGACCGAGAGGTAATTTGGAAACTGCTTCAATACTACGGAATACCACAAACCTTTATCAGCCTCATTCAACAACTATATGAAGATGCCACATGACAAGTAATTCACAATGGACAGCCCAGCTCAGTGATGCTTTTGAAGTGAAGATAGGAGTGAAACAAGGTTTTCTACTATCCCCCATGATATTCCTGATAGTGTTGTGGTGGACTGGATCATGCAGCAAACAGTGGGGAGCTGTGAGAAGAGGGGGATACGCTGGCTGAACTGCGAAAAAGAACCTAGAAGATCTGGATTTCGCCGATGACTTGTGTCTGATGTCACACAAACTTGAAGATCTACAGGCGAAAACTAACAAGTTGGCAGAAGAGGAGAGGCAGCGAAGACGGGACATCATTCAAGTGAATATAGAGAAGACAGAGGTGATGAAGATACCCAACCAACGCCACCACCTACAACAACAAACTCCAGTCACCATCAACAGGAGAAACTTAAAGGAAGTAACCTCCTTCACCTATCTAGGAAGCACTGTTTCAACTACAGGCGGCACAGACGGGGATGTCAAAGTCAGAATCGGAAAAGCAAGACAGGCGATCATTAACCTGAAACCAGTGTGGAGATCTTCTGCACTCAGCATGCGTGAACAAGATACGGATTTTCAACACCAACGTCAAGTCAGTGCTCCTGTATGGTTCAGAGACTTGGCGCGTTACGAAAGGCATTTCCAATAAACTACAGACATTCATCAACAACTGCTTACGCTCGCTACTGAAGGTCAGATGGCCAGGAAAAATAAGCAACAAGGAACTCTGGCTGGCTGGCAACGAACCAACCAAGAACCTATCACCCAACAAATATGCAGTGGAAGGAAGTGGAGATGGATTGGGCATACATCGAGAAGGCCGACTGGGGACATCACGCGTCAGGCCCTCGAGTGGAACCCCCATGGGAAGCGACGAGTTGGACGTCCGAGGGTGACATGGAGGAGATCGTGCGAGGAGGAAATGAGAGTTTGTGGGCTGTCGTGTAGCCAGGTTCAAAAGATTTCAGAGAACAGAGTTCACTGGAGACGTGCTACTGAAGCCCTATGTTCCATTAGGAACCCAAGGGACTAATAATAATAATAATAATAATAATAATAATAATAATAATAATAATAATAATTAATAATAATAATAATAATAATAATAGGATGTGTCTAGAGGTGCCGTACTAGAACTACTGGTACAAGTTTAATATGATAAGCCTGAGTAATTAGTACAAACAGTTTCAAGGGTTAGGCATAAAACATAGATGGAGGAACCTGCTTTACGAAATCGAGAATGCGGATCAGTGCTTCTAGGTGTAATGGATTGAGTGCTTCTTCTTACTCTACGCGAAATGAACTACATCTAAACTATTACACAAACATGTCACCTATGCAGAAGCTAAATTTTTTAAATATATGCCTCCATGCATGCAAAACTAACCTCATGGCAATGGTGAATATGCCTGTTAACGAAATTTTCGTCAGTGAAGGAGTGTGTCTAGCCAAACCCTTTTGCAACACAGCCTAAAAAGCAGTTTGTTAATAAATCTGGCCAATTACATTTAAACTTTCAAACAAACGCTCCTGCACAAGATGTTGAAGGAAAGCTGAAGCTAACTGATTCATTGCAGGTTTCAGTTTCTCGTCTGTAAAATAAAAATGAGTGAGATAATTAGCACTAACAGAAAACTGTTAAAATGGAGTTATTACGAAACCGCTTGACAAATAATGACACTGAAATACTGACATTTACACTCGAATAAAACTACATCAGAAGTCAATGAATTCTAGAAACTGAAGCAGAAGTACATCGGTTTGGGTTTTTACACTTCACATTAGTGTGCAAGGAAGAAGTAGATAGAAGAAGCGATATTAAGGTGGACAAATGTGAACTACAGGAAGCAGGATAAACAAATGGTTAACAAAATGTATAAAAGTATGAAGATCCGACTGTGATCGGTCTACAGCCGTATTACCAAGTATCTTCAACCACTGGTTGCTATCGTATTGAGGACTTTAACAAGTAAGCCTACATCAACTTATGTGACTCAAACCAACAAAAAGCAACTTCGTGGACTATTGCCACATCTTGGACTGACTATCCTCAGCCTTTTTTCAACCTGATCACACTTCTGTTATGGTTTACTTGGGGGCGGCTAGCACTTGAATCCAGGATGTGCGTTCCGTCCCATTTGGGACTCGTCAGTCGGAGGTACCTGCATCCCTCTGGGTGATGGTGTCCCTATTGAGACTCAATCGCATCAAACGCCGAAGGGTTATCCACTAGTCCACCGAAGCACGAGATTCATATCCTGCACAACGCGTATTAGTTTTTATTCATTGATACTTGTAATTTTCAGTTGTTACACCTGATCGAACGCATCGAACTCGATTGGCATATGAGCTTTTACGCACATTTCTTAATATTTCATGAATATTCATTATAATATAATTTACTTGGTGGTGGCTAGCATTGGAATCTTACACCTCGGTGGCTCAGTGGATAACAATTTGGTGTTTGGAGAGATGGGCAGTGGATTTGAGTCAAAGCGGGAACACCACTACTCACTTGGGTGCAGGCACATCTCATTAACGAATCCCTAACAGGACAAAACGCAACGCCCTGGATTTTAGTGCTAGCAGCTAAGTACATCATAATATAATGCATAATCAGGCAGTTTCAAACCATCCAAATAGGAGCCAATATGTCAACAGAGGTCGATCAGTTAGATAGAGTACAACAGAGGGAAATTACAGTCATCAATAATCTAAACCAATTCGGCTTAAACCGAATTCTGAGGTAGGCGGCAGCTTAGTATGCGCAACATATTTTCAAGACACCTCAATCAATGAACGATTCACATCATCGACTGGCTTGTCTTTCTACGCCTAACATCAGAATTGTTTGGACAGTGATTCCTTCACAAGCCAACAATACTACGAAGATATTTGTGGTTAAATGCCTGTAACCTCTTCACATCTTTTACTTTCAGGGACCAAGTTCCACAGCTTTATGAAAGGATAGAGTGAATTGCAGAAATGCATACTCGTCTTTTAATAGGTAGTCAGATATCTGCGATTATGGAGAATATTTGAAGCTCAGGAGGACGATTTTGATGGTTTTGTGTCCTCTCTCTGGTTTAATCGTGCAACTTTTATTCTCATTCTAGATATCATCAGCGCAAACTTCAGAAAGAAGTTGTTATGGGGTTTTCTTCACAAGTGGTTTAGTAGCCTCTCCTGATGACTTTATGTGTTATTGAGGGTTGCTACCTAAGTCTTGCATAAAGAACGTCTCTGAGATCACGATTAGATTACTGAAGCCTTTTGGCTTCAAAACAAAACCACAAAACCTCTTCACTATCTCTTTTACAGGCCAAAAGATACAATAGCGTTATCTACAAAATAAACTGCAGAAACTGAGAAAAATATGACATCAGACAGAGTGGTCGCCCTCTTCGTACCCATCTACTTGAACATCAACTAGTAGTGAAACATTATGGAATCGTTGCACATATCAATGCATACGGACAACTGTGGACATGAATTTAACTAGGAAAAATAAGGAAATCTTTTACAGAGGAAATACAAAGAATGCCAGGGAAATTTTAGAAGCTTGATATTCAGGTCAGTCAGCGATCAACAGACATACTGAGATTGACCCAATCTACCAACTAGTAAGCAACAAGAGGGTCAAAGTTCACATCAACAGGACAACCAAACGAAATAAACATCGAGACAATAATAAGAATCCGATAGAAAAAACCTACTACAGCTAAGGTCACCAAGAGAAAATACTGAATCACTTGTAGGGAAAACCTCATGTCCCACTTCTTCCTGAAGTTTGTCCTGATGATGTTGTCTAGAATGACAACAAAAGCTTCACGACTAAACCATCCAGCTCAGAGAACACACTGTCAAAATCAGATGTCTTGCCAGTGCTAGAAATGACGTAGGTTGGCAAAAACTAAGCAACCCTCCTGTAATCACTCACTGGTCGTTTAAAAGAAGAGAAATTTTTTATAAAATCACAAAGAAATCAGCTGAATGAGTAGTTACAGATTCTAGGTTCTGTAACAATGAGATGCTTCAGCGAAGCTCGGAAACACCGAACCCGAGCAAACCAGGCAATTTTCAGACCCTGTATAAAGTATATCGACAAGACTTGATAGCAGCAGACTCCTTAGTAAAGAGAGTATCTAGATACCCTAATCCTGTTAGTTGAAGACGTGAACAAGGTACAGTGTATTCTGAACGAGTTCAGTGATAATTTGTAACTGTCAGGGACACTTTACGTCCTTCAAGTGCAAATTGTTGCTTCAAGACTGGTCTACCTTGTCTATATATATATATATATATATATATATATATATATATATATATATATATATATATATCTTGTCTAGCAATATGAAATGATTTCGCATGTTAACAATTCACTTACTTGGGAAGCCGGATCATCCTTGGTGAGCCAATCCCCAGTCACTTCGACAAAGATATAGAAGGACCAATATGAATTTATCAGCTTACACTACTTAGGATCTCCGTAAAGTATCCGAATGACTACGAAAAGTTTGTTGTGCTGAGTAGCAGTTCGTTCTGTCCTATTGAGTGAACTTGTGAAATGGCCACTTAAAGTGTACGATATTATAAGGCTTCAGCTATTCAACCCCCATTCCCTCAAGAGGACTGGTCTCACGTCAATAATCTATTATTTTGGTAATGTCAAGACTAAGGGTAGAATCTCACAAAAAGAAAGTAACACAAGTTACGAGTCTTCGACGACTCAGGTGACTAGGGTATGTTGGGTATATCTCATCTAACTTCAGGTTGGGTAGCTTTAAGCTGAAAACGATTAAAGGTAGCCAGGGCAAAACACAGCATTAGTCGATGATGTCTCTGATCGTTAGTCTAAGCTGTGTAGGTAACGGCAGGATTACACGTCGGGGTCCGCATGACAACCAAAATCGGTCGTTGAAGGAAGCAAATGGTGTGGTTCAGGATCTATCGCCGTGGCGGAAATACATCTGTACACTATATTTGTCCTGATAGTCATGCTGAATTTGGTTATTTTTTATTCCTATATTTTCGCACTTACTATTTTAGAATATTGGCTTTCAATTAAATAAAACTAAGCGACCGAAGATCTAGTGGTTGGATTAACATTGACTATCATGATACAGGTTTACCTACAGATGATTCTGATTTACTAATTCATTTTGCCGACGATCGAATCACACGATCCCAAAAAAAATAATGAAACAGAAAATTTTTCATCATCACATTAGGGATGAGCAGACTCACCTTGAATCAGCAACCACTGAGAACAATTCGTGTGAATCAATATAAACGATAAAAATATATTGAGGACTTTTGAATCACTAGGAACAGATGGCTGGACACATTAAGTACAAAGTAAACACCTACATCAATGTTACCCATATGTCCCATGGCTACAGAGAACAGCCATTTCGTTGTGACTATCCAATCAACTAAGGTTGTCTTCCTCAAGGCAAGGGATACATAAGAAACCTGAATAATATATGGGCATTTTCCAGAGTAAGGTACCTTCGGGTCACCAGTTTCGACAGAGTTAACTAAATATCGAATCAGCAATTGTAAGCGCTAGAAAAGAACAGCAGGTTAACGGCCGATAAAAGTGACTTACCTCAAAGTCTGACTTGGAGCAATAGTTGAACTTCAAGCATTTAATATATCTTAGAAGCTGGACAGCTGAAATTTGTAATTAACAAAAAAGGGATATGCAACTAACCAGGAATATATTGTTGAGGTTTGAGATCAGTGACTCCAGAGAAATTCGAGTCAAATTCTGAGCTAAACTCAAAATATATATCACACACACAAACAAACCGTAAGCTTTTAATGAAACACTTCCTCTCAATAAAACTTCGCCAGTGCTTCTAAAAACAATTTATTTTCAGACCAAACAAACCTGAATGACGATAGCAGACACAGTTTTAACCTTAGCATCACGTCGTTCATCCCTTTGCTTTCGATTCTGCTCTACGAAAGCAGTTACCTCCGATCTAACCTCCGAGAACATAGGTCACAAAAAGTCTACTTCATAACCCATAAGTGCTGTAGCGTACCCACTTGAAAGTGACGGCATTAAAACTATAAATCCAAGTGCTTGAAGATAGAATAGGTTTCATTCAACTGGCTCCTGCGTCTAGAACTAGTAAACCACTAGTTCCTGTTATTGTTGACCTGTGTACGAATGAAGACTGGGGGAAATTTTCAGGTTAGAATGTGAAAAACAAGTTACTTTTGAGTTTATCCAACATCAATATTGTGAGTAGAGGAAACTTGAAGATTGCTACGCAGCCACACCCGCATCTTAAGTAGTTGTCAAGTTATTGTTTGAAGGAAGTGAAGTATACCGAACCACTTCTTCAGAAAAAGCATTCTAAGAGTTAAAAGGTTTAGGAAGTAGAAGTTGTGCTCGATATCTTGCCCAGCTATGTTCTAGTATTTATCTTTGTATATGTTCACTAGGTGGTACAGCTCAAGTTCACTAAGTGATGGAGTGAGTAATTAAGACTATCTAAGATACTGCAGACCCAAATCGAGCTCCTTCTGAGCCTGCCGTATTCCAGAGGACATAGATCCCACGCTATCGGTCGTACTTCATGCATTTCAGACTGACGTCCTCGAACAGATTTAGTTGAATGCCTAGGCCTAATTTGTCGTTCTGCAGAGAGGAGAGGAGTCTATGGCCTCAAACTTCAGGTTAGGCCTTGTGAAGTTTTTGGGACTTCGGTGTAAACTTCTACTATCTCACAGTCCGAAAATCCATTCATGAGTTGCTAACTCTAAGTTTCCATTGAATACGCCTCTTTTACATCTGGACTATGAATTTAATTCCTGTGAGGTAAAAACGCCCAACTCAACCCTTTCAGCTTTGACGCCTACAGTTCCATGCCACTGGTACCAAATATATGACGTGTACCACGTCTTAATTGTGCAACCTTGCATCTTGCAGAGTTGAATGCAAGCCCATTATTGATTTCTCAGTTTTCGTGTGTGTCAACAATATCTTCTTCACCTTTACTTTCACTTAGCAGTCTCATGTAATAAGCAAGGAATGAGATTTCAGAAAAAACCTGTTGAAGCAAGTCATTTATCCGTATTAGAAGAGAAGGAGGTCTCAGTAGTGATCCATGAGGAACTTAGCCTGAACGTTTTATTTCTCAAGACCTACGAAAACCTACCGAAACTCTAAATGAATGGTGGTGCGGAAAGGAGGGCATTCAGTCAGTGAGCTGTGGTTTGAACCTGATCAACTCCTTTTTATCCATAAAGCAACTATGATCAACAAAATGGAAAGTCTTTGGAAAGTCTAAATAACTAATATTAATTCTGCCTCAAGAGTTGGCACTTCCAATCCATTTATCTACTGCTGCGAACAGGTTAGTAGTAGGTGAGCAACCTTCCCTAAATCCGTGTCTTCGCGGTATAAGTAAGTTAATCGTTATGAGATGATTCTCCAGTCCATCCTTAGTCAGCGACCTCATTACTTTTGAAGGAATGAATATGAGCATCACCAGTCTGTATTTACCTGAATTGATTTTTAGATTCCCTTTGAGGATAGATGTCGTGTAATCGAAATTCCAAGCCTCCCCCTATCTGCGAAGCTGCCACATGGATATTTTCCGGTTTTACAGAGGCATCTTTTGTGAATGGTAGCATTTTGCACCGCATTAACTCAACGTCCAAGTCTAAGACCAAGAGTCCCACTCTCTTTTGCACAGTTTATTGGCTAAATCCTTATGTTTAGGGGATAAAAACTCGTTTAAGGACTGTTCAGCAGTGAAGTCGTTCTCACCAATCCTTCGTTCTTCTGCCTATTCAATACGCCAGAGGTACAAATAGCTCCGGTCTATTCCGTTTTCATCGTGATTACCCTTTCTATAGTCCATCTCAATGCACATGAACTTCAAATGGCAAGTGATGCCTACTGGCCCAGGAAGCTTCCGAGATAGCAGTCATCATCGAGGCAGGCGGGAATACTAGTTTGAGTAGCCTAAGTGTCAAGTCCTCATCCTTTTCCGGTACACGTGTCAGCTTTTGTGAAGAGATGTCTTCAAGGTCAACATGTTTTTAAAAATTTTCACTCGTGGTTTCTCTAGTTACATTCCAACGGTGCTGTTTCCAGGGCTTCCTTGAAATGCCACATTTCTACTCCAACGGCAGCCTCCTCAACCCACACTTCTGAGCACATGAGCCCAACAATCTACGCGAGACTGGTCATGTGCTTCGCGAGAACAATGCAACCAACTTCCCGTCCGTTTTTCAATATTAAAGGTAAGTAGCGTGAGTCCGGTTGGTAGCAGGAAGTTAGGAAAAAAGGTGGATATCGGACTTATTAGCAAGGAATAATGAACGAGAAGCAAATAGTGAAGTGAGGAGGGGCCAGATAATCTTTTCAGGGTAGTGAGTTTAGTGGCTGTTAGGGGTATGAATTCCTCTGATAATTTTAATTATGTTCATGAGTACTGAGCATCTTTTTACGGGCTCTAGTAGGTACTTGGCGCCATGGAATACCATTTAGAACTCAGGGGAGTCTCCTGAGTGAAACAGAGCTGTACTTCTCTTCCTCCTTCTTACCCCGTTGATCGATTATGTCTGTAGCTCCTTTACACGTGGTAAACCATTTTTGCCGGCTGATGACCACAAAGCAGCTTGCATGTTCCTTTATGTCTACAAAGGGTGAGCTTGATGTAATACGCGCGTGGTAACCTGCTTACAAACCTTAGTTCAGTGTAGCCGAGTGTTGCAGGATATGTTTTGATGCTTGCTCCACGGACAGGCAGTTGACCTGTCCATGGAACTGTTTGTTCCTACAGACTCCCGTGACCCTGCACCGTGGTACCCAGGTGACCTCTTATTTTCCGGACACGTTGCATCATAGACTCATGAATCCAGAATCCTGTTTGGGAACGGACTTCATAAATTTCATTTTAAGGATCCCAATTTTTTGTTCTACAAGAACTGTGTACGACGTCTGTTAGAATACCACCAGCTCATTTTGTATGTTATCAACGTTGGCGGCAAAAGAAAAACCGGGGATGTCTAAAGGTATCTGCTATCCAGCCTATTAGCCTGTGAATCCAAACGGGGCTACAAATCCAGATGCACGACCCCTAATGTAGAACAACTCTGGATAGGATGGCTGAAAACTTATCTCAGGCTTTTCTTTAGAGAGTATCACAAAAATAAACTTTGTGGTCAAAAAGAACGGCCTCTAAGGACTGTGTAACCGAGTCCGCAGCGTCACGTTGAGGCCTTTAAAGTCCTCTATTTGTGCACATTTCTTCACAGTAAAGTCCCAGCAATTTCGGAACCAACCCATATTGAGGTAAATGCCCGAAAATCACCCCCTGGATTTATTTGCTTACTGAGTGGATTCTTATCCCCTAGAAAGTTCTCTAAATTACTAAGTGCACCACCAGCACCCTCTGCGACACCAGGTACTTAGTATCGCCGATGCCTGAATCACACCTTACCACATCTTTTAATGTTTCGTCCATGAAAACTTCCTCATAAATGCGCACTGCGTTCTAACCGTTCCTAATGGCACACTGTAATCAAATTAGGTGCGAGCCTTAAACTATATAGAAACGTGATAGGTGTTTTATTCTATTTTAACTGGATTGAGTGTGTGCAACCAGTGATATAGTAAAGGGTGTTGAGATGCACAGAAACGTGTAAATATATAGCATGCTTAATATAAGAAGCTTTGAGGGTTGAAAACCTCGCCTGGTTAACTAGTTTACTAGTTACTAGCCGGTCCTAAGCCCGGGTAAAGAGGGAAGGTTGGGCATAGGGCTAGCAACCCTACCCCGTAAAACAAATCTAACCGCTAAAGAAACTTCAAAGCACAAACAAAATATAAAAAATGAAAACAAACTTATTCCCCGCTGGAATCGGAGAGGCGAAATGACGCCAGTTGGTGAAAGCCTTCGGGAAGCCAATTGGCCGATGTGTCTTCTCTCGATGAAAGCGAAAGTAAACGTGGGGACATGGAATGTCCGCACGATGTTTGAACCCAGTAAGGCAGCCCAGATTGCAAAGGAGATGAGAAGGTATAACATCGAAGTGCTTGGGATTTGCGAAAGCAGATGGAATGGGAGTGGACTCTCCAAACTGTCAACGGGAGAATCAATAATCTACTCCGGTCACCCAGACGCCAACCACGAGCACACTGAGGGAGTGGCTATCATGATGTCCTCAAGAGCATCGAAGGCTCTCATGCAGTGGGAACCAATCTCCTCCAGGATCAGGATCATGACAGCGAGATTCAACTCAAAAGGAAGAAAGGTCACAATCATACAATGTTATGCACCTACAAATAATGCAGAGCAAGAGAAAAAGGAGGAATTCTACAGACAACTTCAATCAACACTGGACAAGACGTCAGTTGGCGATATCAAAATTCTAATGGGCGACATGAATGCCAAACTGGGAGGGGACAACACGGGAAGAGAACTAACCATGGGTCGAGAGGCGCTAGGTGAAATGAATGAGAATGGAGAATTGTTTGCAGAATTCTGTGCATTCAACGATTTGGTGATTGGAGGCAGTGTGTTCAGGCACAAGGATATCCACAAAGCGACATGGATTTCACCAGATGGACACACTAAAAACCAAATCGACTTTATCTCAATCTCAAGAAAATGGAGACGCAGTCTACTTAACACAAGGTCAAGAAGAGGAGCAGATGTAGGTTCAGACCACTATCTAGTGCAAGGAACCTTCGAAATCAAGTTAAAAGCCTTCAAGGAAGCTGGTGATAGACCTCAATTCAAGTACAACACTCGGAAACTGAAGGATGAAACTACAAAGGAGATCTTCAAAGCAGCCATCAAGACAAAATGGGAGACGTCGAGGGACATCCCTGAAGAAACCTGTGTAGAAGAACACTGGAAGTCTTTGAAAGCTATGTGGAAAGAAACCTGCACAACAGTATTAGGAAGGAAGAAGAAAGAAGACAAGGAATGGATCTCGACGGATACCTGGAAGCTGATAGAGGAGAGGAGGATG